GAATTAGTCAAAACATCTTATAATTCCACCTGATAAAGCCGAAACCGAGGCGCCACAATATGATTAACAGTTTAATGATTTGTTTTTAAACCTTAAGAATGAGGTATAGAAGCACAGACCAAGTATAATTTCATTTTAATTCAATAACTGATAATGCTAAAATTTGTCAATCAGGAATTTTTGTATGAAATAAGTTATTATTGAAAGATTTAAGTCAAGATTTAATAGTAATATCATTGATGAATTTTTTGTTGCGATTCATGATATTAATTAAAAATAATATATAGATAATATATTAAATATACGTACCATATGAATATAAAACATTCATATCTGATGGTGGTGGGTTGCAATTTAATGCTGAAATATAAATTGTTTCTCTATTGTAATCTCTTCCGGTTTTCAATATAATATTTCTTAATTATTGAAACATTGTTTATTTGTTATAGATCTGCTACTGACCTGTTGAAACAACCGATCCATCATACCTCCCGTTTGTAAATAATCTTTCTTCATCGTAGTATACACATTGAATAACTGTAAATTCTTCTTCACCTTCGATTCGATCGATACAAAAAGTTCCGTAAGATAAAGTTCTTGCATACGGCATAAATAGATCGCCATTACTTTGAAGATAATACTCATCCTCCATACATACATTCGGATCCAATTTTATTTCGGACTTAGCACACCGTCGAGTACCATAAAAAACGTATAAAGATTTTTCGACTACACCAACCACCTTAGTTCCATCGAAAACTTGTAAATTCGAAATTGATTCGGATTCTGCACGGCGCATACACGTTTTGTTTACGAATATTTCGTCGTTTTTACAACACTTTTGCACGCAACCTTTTAAAAAGCAAACGCAACCGTAAAAACGATCGCCTACAACGAAAGTGTAGTATTGTGGATATTTGATACCCTCATGGAATATCTCTCCAGTAGGAAGTAGAGTTGAATTGTAAGTTATATCGACGGCATCTTCAAAATCACAGAGCGTTTCTATTTTTGATGATGTGTAATGTATTTGGAGATAAAGTAGAATTAGAGAACGAATAGTGTCACTAATACAAAACATTTTTACTAGAATGGGAGCTTTTAATACATTTGCTTGTAATAACAGCGATTGTATTTGTCATCACATTTCGTCATTATAAAGCCAAAACCGCAATAGATAAAGTTATTTTCCGATTACGATAGTATGGTAATTTTTTCTTTTAGAAAACGAGATTATATTTTATATTTATTTAATGTAAGTGCATGGTTTTTATGCATGTGCTTCCGGTTTATTTCTAAAACTACTTACTATTACTCACCAATGAAATGCAAATATTTTTCACTTTTCCCACAAATTAAAGCTATTAAATTGAATTTTTCTTCGTCTGAATCATACTCAAGACAGTATCGACCAAGAGGAACGATAAGTTTTCTATAATGTAAATCGCCGTTGTATTGCACGAATATTTTTTCACTTATATTGGTTTTAAAATAACCCTCATTGCAATTAAAACCGTATTCAATGTTAAAATCGAAGTTTTCTAAAAGCACGTTTCCATAATATACGTTAACGTTAAAACTAATTTCATCGTTTAATTTAACACAGGATAATTCGTCGTTTAAAATTGAATTCACGCCACAACACTTTTGAATGATAACACCAAAAGTAGTTGGTATCAAAATGTTTGCTACAAGGATTAAAACGAACATCTTTTCTGAATGATGAATAAATTCGAACTGAAGTTGGTTCAAGTCTATTCATAGCGTATGAGTACATTTCTTAAAAAACTAATTAAGTTTTGTTTAAACTAAACAAATCAAATTCGAATGACCTTTAAGAAAAGCAATTAAATACGTACCATATGAAATCAAATCTAACGGTGGTGGAGGAAAGCAAACTAATGCTGAAAAATAAATTGTTCCGTTTCTTAACACATTATCGACACAAAAATCGCCAATGGAACTATAATCGAATGTATCATTATATAGAATCGTCCCATCAGTTTGTAAGAAAAACACATCTGTTTCATAATGAAAAGGATCCAATAAATAACCACTGAACTCACAATATTTGTTATAAACCACATAAAAATCCGTTTCATTTAAATCCACGTTCCCGACAAAATCAACACCATCATAAGTAATAAACGAAAACTTTTCATTCGTATCTCCACATGTATGGATTGAGTCATTATTCATGAGTAATTGCGATTTTGGACAACATTTCCTCACGTATCTATTATGCTCACTTAAACAACCCCAACGCGTTCTATTTACAATCTTGTAATATTCTTCAAAGAACACTAAATCATCTTTTATTATGGTTCCATTTGGATATTGTTCCCCAATTGATATATCCACCATTAAGTGCGATGGACAAAAATCGTAATCACCGAAAATTGGATTTATCAACCAAATTAAAACAAACAAATTTTTTAAAATCATTTTATACATTTTTTATAATGCCGTTTAAAAACTGGACTGATTTAATTAACACCGAAAAGCTGATTAAAAACGGGAAGTTTATGCTTAAGCGTTGAACCGGAAAAATGTTAAACCACAATGATCTGGATTTAAAAAACACTGCCGACGTTAATTTCATTTTCTTGAAACGTTCGATTTTAAAATAGAAATTGGAAATTGAGGTTTATGAAGTGTTGAAAGTTTATTAATCATGTGTGTTTTCCGCTTATTCTTACAAATGAGTTTAGGAAAAGTTTTGTTGTTATAAAGTGCATCATTTCCTCAAGATTATAGCGTCTAATCTAATCTTTTATGTTTATTCATAATTATAATTATGAAAGTTTGAAGGGAAAAACAATGTAATAATAAATACGAAAAGAATTGTAATAATAAGCCTTTTATAGCTTATATAATCTATTTGGCAATGTTTAAAATTAGATGACTTAATTATGAATAAATATTTTCTTCGAAGGCAGAATTGCAAAATTATCAGCAAGATTCTTTGGCCATTGTTGAAAACAATATCAGACTCAAAATGTGTGTGACTTTTATTAATATGATAAACGAGCAAATATTTTTCCTTTCGAATGATAGCAATTGCTGTATTAATGTACTTGAAATTATTGACAAGTTTCATTACCACTTTGTGGTAACTTATAGCAATGATGATATTGCACCTACTTCTGCCGTTCATTACAAAAAGCTTGATTTTTGTCTTGCATATGTAACTACTTAATGATAAGCTGTCTAATACTTTTTGAAGAGAGCAACACGTAATGAGAGATTGCAGTTCTTTATAGCTTCTCTTAAATATATATTTAAATTATAAAATATGTTCTGTTTTTAAAAAGGATAACTGATAGTGATTTTAAAAACTATGATGATAAATAACTTCGCTCAACTCTATGAAAAAATTATTAAACATACTACTTCGATCTCCAACATGGGTTACACAATGTCTCAAAGGTGACTAAGACTAGGCGAAGACCATGTATGAACTGAATTCCTAAATGGTTTAAATGTGTTGAATCCTACTACTTTGTTAGCTAAATATCTTCTTGAGCCCAGTATTGGGGATTTAACTGACTTCGAAATGTAAAATTGGATCTCTTGTATCAAAGCAACATACCAAATTTAAAAATGTGACGGGTGTGAGGAAACAAGTTGCTTAAGTGCGATTTTTAGCATCAGATGAACAGCTAGTTTACGAAGCAGTTTTTGTAAGAAATTGAAAATTATATGTTGGAGTATTCAAGTTGGAATAATGGAGGCAATAATGAAGGAAACATCGCGTTGTGAAGTTTTCAAAACCATTGGAATTGCAGATATGATTGGAACTGCAGCAATATATCTTGGAAAGACGGCCGAAATTTTCTTTTGTAGCGGGTAATATTTTTTTACAAATTCGTATTATAAAACTTAGCACTTAGCAGAAGGTTTGATAAAAGTTTATAACTAGAGTAAGGAAAGCGGAGTATGTTAAGCGTATTTAGAGTGTTAAAACTAAGTAAGAAAAGTAACTTAACAAATTAACCTAGTTAAGACTGTCTTGATGTTTCTTGATTAAACTTTCATTTAACATTGAACGGTTCGGTATGTATGTAATTTGTAGAGTAAGATTACCATCTGCTTTTCGGCCTAACTCCTTTTCGATTTTCATTTTCATTTTCGATTTTATATATAATTTTGTTGTTGATAACGATTTTGCATGTTCATCTAAAAAAGCTACATATTCTATTTCTGTAGAACATAATAAATAAAGCGAGTGTGAAATAATATTATCTTGTAATTGTTTCGTACAACATAATATAAACTTTCGTGGAAACCAAACCTACTGGTTTGAATCCAGTGATAAATTATGTGTCTTATTTTGATTAATTTTATTAGGGATGACGTTTTTTGGGGATTTTCTTTTGCCATTAAAAACTTCTATGATTCTATGATTGACTTCTAGGATATGATACCTACGAATTTTTGTTAGCGACATTTTGCATAAGCAGCAAATTTAAACAAGAGCTGCGTTTATTTATAGATCACCTTAACTTACGCGATAAAAATTACATCGAGAACTTCAAAGAACGTTAACACGTAACATTGTAAAACAAAATTTAGAATCATATGGGGGACCGGTGCGATGCTTAAAAAAAATACTATGTTACCACCGAAAATGTTAATTCCTGAAAAGTAATAATACATAGAGTTAATAGTATACAAGACTATAAAGCTATTAATAATGTTCTAAAATTCTAAAAAGCATAACAAAAGCAATATAATTTATTACAAGACTGAATTATACGCACCATCGCAAAGTTTAGAAACGATTTTTTCTGGTTATATTTAGATCAAAAAAAAACAAACCTAAACACACGTGTGCCAGTATTACTAGTAATTCGCCAGGTAGCTGTGTTCTACTTAGCAATGGACATAAAACGTAATAAAATATCTTTTCAAGGCTTACTTTTATTGACTTAAACAAATTAATAAAAATAAATTTAAAAATGACTTAATTATCGATTTTTGTTTATAGAACAACTTACCTACATGTACATGTTCTCTTCTTTCAGTTGGTAAGACCTCTATATCAGCACAACCGAGGACGATAGTTTTCCGATTTCCAAGCTCATATTTTGTATCAATACAAAACTCCAAAAAATTATGAACTACACTCTCTCCATTATCATTTTCAGTCAATTCTCCGTTTGATGCTAATTCGAAATCGGTTATTTCATATACACATGTATCATCTTTATAATAAATGTATTTGAATGTGTTATTAATATTTAACGGATCATCACTTTCTTCACAACTCATGCTATCAGTTTCGTTTGAAACGATAACTTTACCAACATCACAACATTTTCTCACGCAAACTGTAACGTCACAAACGCAACCATAAACCGAATTATCTTCGTAATAAGTTAATTCTTTCGGAAATGTTAAATTATCAAAAATGATTTTGTTTGTTTTATCATCAAAAACACCAGCACTTATGTTAATAGAAAGTTCTTTACTACACGGTCTCGAAGCTAAAGTAGCAACATTAACCGATAAAAACATGCACAATAAGGCCCAATATTTGCCCATGACTTATGTATATAAAGATACCGAATGATATTAAAGAACCGAATTGGGCTGAGTACCGCACCGAACTGAACTTAGTTAATTCAATCGTGTTGAAAAAGAAACCGCTGACTTTGAGTTTATATTTAAGCGTAAACCAACCCGGCGTGGTCAATATTTATGTATAGTATACGTAACACAACACTATTTCGCTTTGTTAAAGCTAATTTCGAACGTAAATATTTCTCTCTATATAAAATTAAGTGTAATAGTGTTTACATAACACAAGGATAAGATAAGATGTAACGATTTCACGAGTGACGGAAGATTGGCAATAAAGTAAATTCTGCTCAAATTGCAATAAAAGGTGGTTATAATTCAAAAAATGTGACATACTTAGGAAAATACACACCCGTTTTTTTAGGCGTGAGAGAATATGTAAAATCAATACTTGTAATGTTATGTTGATAAAAGAATTTAAAATTTAAATACTGTTGTATTAAAAGGAAAACTTTGTTTATAAAGTTACTTTAGTAGTTTCTAGAACTGATAAAGTTACTTAAATCAAAGTTACATTGAATTACTAATACTTGGTAAACAATGATATATTTATATAAAACAAATAAAATACTACGAATGCCATCCTGTTATTTGTGCGTTGTGAATGAAAAAAATTTGACCCAGAAATAATTTATGATGGTAAATAAATAAAATAATCGATATTTCCAAATTGATAATAATTCAAACAATTAAATGTAATGCCGAAATGAAAGGTTACATAGAGGCTTTTGACAACTAGGAAATAATCTTTTCCTGTTACGTTGAATAAATATGGTAAGCAGCTATTCCTTATCGTAGGCTCCATACTTAATGTACTCTTTTCTAATAACTTTATCTACTCTTTTGTACATTGCATACTGGTAGATGCTGTGAGTAGGTACTGTTTTTGCGAGGTTAAAGCGATAAGGATTTCAAAGGATATCGCAGCAACTGTATAATAACGCTCTCTTAATTTAAAAAAGGCTCAATTCTTCATCCGAAGAATTTATGTTATTTTTGGCATGGAATTGGTTTCTCAATCGTAACAGGAGTATCTGATTAGTATCTATTTCGGATTCTGAAATAGCAATTCGTCATTATTACCTTGAAGGCGGGTTTTCAAAATCTATAAAGGTATTTGTAGAGTTACTAAGAAGCTAATTCCGCTAAGACAGAGATTGCAAAAGTAGCGCCTGATTTGATAAAAGATCCGGATTAATTAATACAAACTTGCAACCACAAATTATTTCACTATATTTGCATGAATCTCACACTTTGACCAATCTTTGGTAAAAATCGAATTGAAACTTGTTTTCATCAAAAGTCTATGAAGCTACAATATTAATCTCAATGGTGCTCAAATGACTTTTTTATGGATTTTTCAAGAGGCTGTATTTCATGTCCACTATTGCATAATCCAACTGATACAATGCTTTGTTGTACTCATTTGGTGCATCTTCTTTAATAATTATCTACTCTTAATAATTCTTGATCTTACGTGCATATGTTCTGCTATCAGAAAATAATTTCTATTGATATTAAAAAATTTGGACATCCTTCAATTTGCTAACATATCTTGTAGAACTATAAGCTGATATAAAATTGCTGTACCTAATCAACCGTTCTTTAGGTTGCTTTGTATTATAGACTGACTATTATGTTCATGTATTATAAGATAAATTCTTTTTAAAAAATGCGTATCAGTGGAATGAGCTAACTTAATATATCTACTAACAAAAATGTGGCTCAAGGTGAATAGACGCAGATGGAAAGCGATAATGTGAAAGTGTAACAAAGATAGACATAAAACGGTACTAAACAGACGGGCGCATGCGCACAAAAGTGTCAAACCTCTTCCATTTGACGTTTATCGTTTTGTTGTGTCACAGCTAGTCACACCGTTATGTTTAAAAATGTATTGTTTCGTGTGCAAAGTTCGCGATAATACAGTTTCACATCACCTGTAAGTATTATAAATGTTACTTCTAATTGATAGTTTTTTATCTTATAAATTAACGCACGCCCATTATATGTCAGTACGCTTCTATGTCTATCTCGGTTCGATCACCTTGCGCAAGCTATCTCTCTCGTTGGCTCAATCCATATTATATATAATCAAAGGTATGAGTATATTTACTCTTATATTTAAGTCAATATCTATCAATCAAAGTTATGACTTTGCATCTGTCACAAACTTTTCACAATTTAGAACGTCACAAAAACACAAATTTCTATTCAGTGAAGATAAAAATATTTTAAAAGTCTACACTATAATAATTATCAAAAATGTCGAATCAAACCGTAACCGATTCAAATTCCTCAATATTAAATGTAAAACCTTTAGAAACGTTAAAAGAAGTCGAAGAATGGTTTAAAAAAGTAGACAACAACAACACTGGATTTTTAACATTAAAATCATTACAAGAAGCCCTATATTGGTCGCAAAATAAAAACTTTTCAAAAAAAGCATGTAAATTAATGATGAGTCTTTTCGATGGAGACAGAAACGAAACTATAAATTTGGATGAGTTTAAACGATTGTGCTCTTACGTAAATAGATGGTTACATGTGTTTATGATGTATGATTTAAACAACTCCGGGACGATCGACGCTAAAGAATTTTCGTATGCTTTGATTCAAATGGGTTATAAACTATCGAACCAGTTTGTTGAATTGGTTATGAAAGTTTTTGGTGAAAACTCGAATGAAATGACTTTGGATGAATTTATTATGGCATGTGTTGAAATCCAGAAATATACGGAAGCTTTTAGAGTCCGCGATCTTGAATGTATTGGGACTATTTCGTTGGAGTACGAAGATTTTTTAAAAATATTTTTGAATGGTTACGTTTAAAATTGAAAATAAAACTCTATTGGATTTGCTTTATCAAATAAACTTTCTTATTTTGTGAGTTAATGGAGGAGTTCTTAGCACCTGTTCGGTTTCTATTTGAAAAATCACTTTCACGTAAAAAAAATACTAACTCTCACTATAGTATTCAAATATTATGAATATTTAAATTCAAGGTTGCATTTTCTTTCTTTTTATTCATATAGGTAAATGAATTTAATCTGATTCAACAAGAATGGTTCTCGTCCTAATTTAATGAATACTTATTGTACTCAACGAGAAGATTCAGTTCTTGAACTTAACTAAAATAACAATAGTTTAGAAAACTATTTATGTAGAGTGCAAGGTTTTTGTAGTTCATGTGAATTTGAATAAATTTCTTTATAGTGGATTTTCTTAATTTAGAGACAAAGAAATAAGAATAAGAAATAACGTTGACAATTTCGAAATCGAATTGGAATTATAACAAAATTTTCATTCACTTCAGGTGCATAATTGGTACGTGGATACTTCTTCGCCGTCGTCGTCATCGTCATCGTCTGTGACCTCCCCACTTGCCTTGTTCTTTTCCTTACCTTTCACCTTACCCAACCCAACCCATAGTTTTCAAGTGGAAGTTGAAATCGTTACCAACACCATTCGACCAGTCGTACAAGAAGTTTCATACGCGAAAGTTGTCATTGAAAAGTTTTAAATAAAATCGAATTCTGTTTTTTTTTAAGACATTTTTTTAGTTTCGAGATTCTATAGGATCTAGAAAAGTTACTTTTTGAGATTTAACTTTTTGGTTGATTAAAATCGTGTCAACTTAGTATTAAGTTTAAAATTTTTGATATGTTGTGTATTTGATTTTGGATTGGGATTCAAACGCCCTTATTATTTTTAAAAGGAAACGATGTCGGTGAGTTACTAATTATAAGTCATTCAAACTAGTAATTACTTATTCGATTCAACTCATTATTTGGTCCCAATGGATTTATGTAACGTTTGGAAACGCGTTCCAGAAACTAATATAGTCTATCCACGCAGGTGGTAATTGACACAGAAATGCAAAATCTACTTTTAATTACCCCCTCATTCCGTTAAGAACCGTTGCGTAAACGATTTATCGTTTTTCGTATCTATACAACTAAAGTGTGGAGTTGTTCAATTTCCAATTATTTCCAGAATTATACAGAATGAGCACGTAATAATTATTATAAACAGTATTCATGTTGATAGCTGTAATAATAAATGATTGAAGAAAAAGTTTAATAGAGCGTAATATTCACACTTTCGTTAGGGTTGATGAACTCTTTTTGTTTTCTTGAATCGATATTAAACGAAAAATGTTGTGGAATATGTGAAAATTTCTTCCTTAACAGATTCCATTCCATATTTGTAACTGCATCATCGACTTTCTCCGGGAAACCATACTCTATCTAGTCTATCTATTGATTGTGAGAGTTGTAAGTCTTTTTTTAAACCTAAGAGATTAGAAATTAATCGATCTAATCATTTACACGGATAATAGCTGTTTTGATTTATCACGTAAATGCAACAAGGAGATATTTGTGAGGATGTTAATAAATTTTAACTTGTTTAGTATAATTCCACGAAATGCTCTTGGTGGCCTTCAAACATATAACGTAACTTTGGAAATATAAATTAATCATTTTTTATAAAATAATAAAGAATAAACCTTTTTCGGTAAGAATAACTCTACATCCTCGTCCAACAACTTGCAGTGATTTATCACATACTTCCCAGAGTACAACTTCGACCGAAACCGCTTTGGCAATTCTAAACCATTTGCCACGTTTTCCAGGTGGCACACTACTTCAGTTATCTAGGATTGTTGTATTATGATCTAGTACGGATGCAATGAAGCTAAGAGATCGGATGCATACATTCCCCATAGTTAAAGAGACGGGTCAAAGCGTATTTGGCTAGGATTTTCGTCATAGTCGAGCCAAGCTACATGGGCAATACGCGTATAGGAGCCCTAAACAGGATGCGCATTGCCTCACTGGTCGAAGAACTCTGACGGAATAGATAAACCGAAACCATCTACCACACACACATTTCTGTAACATTATACACGAAGCTGAGGACCTGATAGCTACGAACCATTCTATAGATCAGAGACGTAAAGTCTCATTTGTTAAAAGCATCCTTGGGCACTAATGTTAATGGAATAACTACGAACTCATCCTTGTTTCTCTCTATTATGTCTCTGAATAATGTTTTCTCCAACAAAAGCCTGCAGTAAAAATTCCATTAAAAGCAGAAATTACAAAAACAGAAACAACAAGAAAAGGCATAAAAAGGAACAAAGTCATTCGGTTCAATGGCCAAACTTTTTATATAAACAGATGAAGATTAGGTTAGGTTCCTAATTTTGTAATCCGAGTCAATGATACCATAATTGGTATATTTTCGCAACAAGTTCTAGTTCAAGTAGTACTAAATAAATCCTTACGGATGTCTTACTAGAATAATGAGTTTGATACTCTGGAAAGCTATAAATTAAAATTCAAAGTTCGTTTCAAAAAGTACAGATTTCCGTTTATCTTGTTACCTTCGTACTTTAACGTTGAAATTATCATGAGCACAGTATGTGTCAGTATTTGAGTGCGAGAGATTCATTTTTACTCCTTTCACCTGTCTTTGAATGAATTGAAAGTATCAATTTTACATTTTACGATAAATTAGGTCATAATTTAAGATCATTTCTGTATATAGAGTATGATATAGTAGCAGATGGATTGTTAACATCATAAACAGGTTTTCCCAAGCATAGAACTTATGCAGAACAGTTATTCGTAGTCTTGATATATCAGCATTCCCTTTCCTTTTGCTGCATAAGAGGTTATGCAACATAAAAGTCTTCTCGTTACTGATACTGCAAATCCTAATGCAAATCATAAGAAACATAATCTAGGCCGATACATTTAACTGACCCGAATGAGAACTCCTTTAGTACTCAACGCTTTATGAATTGTTTTCACTAAAAATAATCTAAATATATGTTATAAAGGATAAGAGCTCCTTTACATCAGTATCATTATGTTAAAATTGGACTATATAATATGTCATAACTCATTGAGGTATTTTCCATGATAATATCTCATGCATTCTTAACATTCGATGTCATAATTTTATTTAACATAGAATTAAATAAAGACGTCGTAACATCTAAATTTATAGAAAGAAAAGCAAATTATTATGTTAGAATTGGATAAAATTTACTACAGAATGATTTTAAAGTCATTTTCCGAACTCAATTAGTGTTTGATTGAGATTTTTTTAAGATTATATCAGTCTTTATACTCCTAACTTGTAATAACTAGATATGCAGATATGTGTTTAAAAAATCATAACGTATAAATTTATAGGATTGAAGAAATAATTTTCACCTCATTAAATATTAGTTAAGTTTGCTATAAAATGGTTTTTATTTCATCTTAATATCTCAATTCGTTCTTAAGATACGATGCTATAAATTGAAACTGATTTAAATTAATCTTACTAACCAGAGGTGAATTTAAAAAATTATATCACCGGGTTCTTTAGTAAGGAAGGAAATATTTTTGGTGTATTGAAGCAGGATTAAATTTGCTATAAAATGGTTTTTATTTCATCTTAATACCTCAATTTATTCTTGAGATACAATATTGCAAATTGCCGTTTCATCAAATTAACCTCAATAACCAGTAAGATATAACAGTGACATATTGAAAAGTGAGATAGTTGAGAAATTAAAGGATTGTGATGGACTATTTAATGGACTTTGCATACCTAACTTACCTTTTCTTCTGGCGTTTTTGTTAAAATATGTCAAGGACATCATGTGCTTTATTCCGGGTTACTACGTCTTCATTAATCAAAAGGTTAACGCTATAAATAATAACATTTTCAATACATATTCACATCTTTTAAGAAAAGACTAAAGTAATAAAGATTGATAGAGATTTGGTACAGAAACCAAATCACTAATGTCGTATGCATAAATTTTACATGAAGGAAAGTTAGAAAATAGTACAGATTTTCATCAAAGCATAGAAAGTTATCTATTGCCTCCGCCTGCAACTAGTATCGAAAGTACGAAAGCTTAGGTTGGTTAGGTTGATGAAAATGAAAACTCTAATATTTCAATTGGGTAGTTGAGATCATTTTTGTATTTAAAAACAACAAAGAAGAAACGTGTTGTTTATTGCACTTAATAAATGTTTCCTTTTTTTATTGAATAAAATGTCAGCCAACATTCCTTTGCACAAGCGGTCCCCAAGTCACGTTTCTTGTACCGCTCCTTGACTCCGATTTTCATCTTATATAAGCATTTACACACAATTCTTCGCGCGCGCCCGATATTTAACCGCGAAAGGAAAAATTTACATTTCACTTACAGATGTTATTTTTTAATAAAAGTCTTAATCCAAGTTAATTCGATATAAATTCGAATCGACCAACAAAAATAACCTCGTCAAACTTTCATCTTTACTTTAAAAAAACCCTTCCCGCGACACTCGGTGTATATTCAATCTCCAACGAACCGATCTAATGTCGTACGTATTTAACTTTCTTCTTTAACGAAAGTTTCAAAGACTAAACCGCGAGAGTTGAAAACTAAATAACAAACATACAAGATTAAAACGAATTTTAATTTGGATCGTCTCGAAAGTGAAATCAATACAAAATACAGCAAAAATGTGTATTGGATCGAATGAAAGTAAATGAAGTGGTTATCTTTATCAAGAAACGGTCGTAAATTAATATAACACACATTTATAACGTAATTGATCAATTATTAAGATATTTGTTGCAAGTTGCCCAGAAAAATAAATAAAGATGATTAATTGTGAAAGTAAATAAAGTTATAATAAAAATGAATGGTTTCTTAATAACATTTGTGATCTTTTAATTTATTCTTTTTCGAAAAGTTTCTTTCTAGTTAATAAACACTTGCGGTTTACCATCTTTATGAAATCACATAACGGAACGTTGTTAATTACTCATTCTACTACGATGCGCATAACTCGATAATAAGAATATTGGTGTCCTTGACCGAAGACGAAGTAGCTTTTACTTTCGAAATAACTGTGGAATTCCAATTTTACTTTTTCGTATGTTTCATTAACAAATTTGATTACTTATTGTTGGCCAAGATTTTTTAAAATGTTATTGAAACAAAAAATAACTTTCACAAAGCTAAATTTAGTATTCACAACACTTGATGTAAAATAATAAGAGAACTCTATTGTTTGTTAAAGAACAAGCTGATTTTATGGGAATAAGATTATTCTTTTTGTTCCCAGAAATGTATTTTTGATAAACCTAGTTGGGTTGTATTTACCCTTAGTACGTTTATAAATATGAAAACAAAAGAGAAAGCTAACAACTTTCACTCGATCATCTATTAGATTATCTTTTTGTCATGAAATTAAAAATTAATAAAGTATTAAAAAGATGTTTTAAAATGAGTCATGCATGAAGAATAAAGTTTAAAAATAGGAATACAAGTCTTCTTCCTCTTCTTCCAGTCCATTTTTGTCAAAGCATCAAGTATCAACCCAACCCACACAAGTTTAACCTTCACAATATCAAGACAAACAGTTCAACCAGTATGGTATTCGCGTAGGTATTCGACTCGAAAGAAATAACTTCAACGTCGTAAAGGTGAATAACATCACGACAAAATCTGAAACTGCACCAAACCATTAAATTAAATGGAAGGCGATTCGAAAATCGTCTCCCTTTCATGGAGTAAAAAAAAAGTGGCGTGCAAAGACACGCGAGACACATGTCATGTTGACTAAGTCCGTTTCGTATCGTTCTTCGACTAACGCACCACTTTCACTCCATTCATAAGGAAAACGACTTCTCTATAAGTTCCTCACCAAGTGGACGAAAGATATTTATGATTTGGACTGTTTCTTTTAAGTAGAAAGTTTTACGTTAATTGATTACGTCACTTAAGTCTAAAATCGTAAATATTCATTAAAAGATAATAAAAATTCAAAAATAGCTTCGAAATGGATCTCTACTTTCATTCGAAAAAAAGAATGCAAGTTGAATTTTTTTTTTCTTGTACGCATCGGACTGGCAAGTGGAGTTGTAAACACTTTCGCTGTCTTTACGGCGTCCGTTACGAAACTAACATACCAGTGGCAAAAGTAGACCTGAGAGATCCAGACCAGATGGTTAACGTAAGAAGGTTGTGATGTAAGATATTTGGAGCACTTGATTGGTTTGAAGGTGAATTTGTCTCTTTGAAATAAATAATTAACTTAAACAAAAAACAATGTAAAATTTTTCACCATTTAGTAGTTTAATGAAACCGAGAATCAAACAAATTTAATACTAGGGCATTAGAAAGCCAATAATGAAAATAAGAATTTTACCACGCGAAACTTTTGTTGGATTGCGGTTTGCAATTTGATATGTGGTTACATTTTCGATTTATAGAATTGCGAAATTTGATAAATATTCCTGATTCATCGATGATTAATAAAGTTGGGATTTAGACTTCTCTTATATATTGCGAATGAGGTCGGAAGTTAACAGTAAATTTATAGTGGTAAATAAAAATTGAGAGAATATTCTTTCATTCGAGCACTTATGGTCTTTTAAATTTGCAATTAGAAGTTCTCCCTTCACTTATAGATCCAGAATTGTTTCAACATAGTCATTTAAACAATGACGATTTCGCAATCATGATTTGTTGGGTTGGTTCTCTGCTTGTGTTTTGTACAATGATATACTTGCATATCCAATTAAACTTATTTTTGTATTAAGTTCTGTTACACCATCTCAACAATTGCATAACTTAAATATCGGCTTGGGTCATTTTCTCAGGTTTTTGATATAAGAATGTCAAAGCTTTCTGTCTCAACAATATTCTGGCTAACTCCAACCCAAACATTAACAATGCAAGAATGAGTTCAACCCAATTTCAACTAAACTGAGTTGCACTATTTGGAATTTTTGCGCTTTTATTACATAACGTTAGTATCATCATGGCATCATCCCAAAATACATATCATCCTTCAATATTTTCCATATCTTTGTAAAAACACCTTTCACTCTTTCGATGTACTTTTGTAACAAATAGTTTTAATCAATTGATTAATTAGTGAAAAATAGCAATACAGAACAACATGTATTTTAACTGCGAGTTTGTTTTCATGGTCTCTTGGTACCACGATCATATCTACAAATTTGATAATAAAAGTCCTGAGCTAATCAATATTTTGGTGGTCGAATATACAGTTGTGATCCATAAATATCGAAAGGCAAGTAAATTATTAACCTTGTAGTAGAAAATACAACAATGTGATGAGTTTAGACCGCAAGAACTAGGTAGTGTTACAGATTTCAACGTGACTAACGTTCAATCGTAGAAAGTTACACATTGTGACTGATGTTTCCAGAATTGTAGCAGTCCGCTGGTGGTTAACTTAACAACACTGAAGGTCAAAGGGAGATAAATGAAGACAAGCACATATGCCTTCTCGCAATACAAGACACATCACTAGTTGTTGAAGGATTAAGACGTTTAACCAGCAACGATATGGTTACAAGAAGAAACCCAAGGGCGATTACTATACTGAAATTCCAAAACTGTATCGGATAAACACTACATGGTATTACGTAGTATTGGCCATGTACTTTCGATTTGTACAAATTTCTTTATCTGTGTATCTGGCTTTCGTAATGCTGCACAGATTTGCTAAGGTGTAATAGATAAGGTGCTGTGTTGTCTATTATTTGCCTATGTAAGGTCTATACATATGTAAGGTCTAGTACATCTAGAAAACTTCGACATATCTCTAGACAAGCTATCTGTACGAGACAGGACTCCAGGAACTTAATGCATGCTGGAAACCAAATGATCTCATGGAGAAGTTGTGGAATCATGAAGTCTATTTAGTCGGAATTTAATACCTTGACCCCAAATACTTGTGGGAGATAAGTTACCCAAAATTGTATCTGATGAACTATGAAGAAAATGCGAATAAAAGTCTTTATATGGCTTATTGATGTGCACACCAGAAGATTTAAATTATCTAGATCCCCCTAGGTCCTGTATTATATCATCATGAAATCTCTGATTAAAAAACTCCCTGTTAATAAACACCCAACGTCATTTCCATCAATAGACCAATCTTTTTCTTCCAAAATGTAATTACTTCCTATAACTTTTAAGGTGTCCTCATTTGTTATTAAAAAGCAGAAATATCAAGATCGAGACCATGTAAAACCACCAACCTGAATTTTATAGATGAAAAACTACCAACCTCAATTTCTCAAAATCTGGAAATGTTTGAAAAAATCGTTGAAAGATATTACTAGTACAAATGCGTTTTAAAACAATCAACGTAGTTACTTAGCAGGAAAGTTATTAATTAATAGGATACCTAATTCTTGTTTGTTTGAGTTTTTGTTAGCATTAAATCAAATACTTTTTGATCTTCCTGAATTTCAATAATCTCGTATTAATTTCTGTACTGATATCATGGTGGTCGAACTTGATTAAGCTATCAATTACTACCAACAAATATATATTCTCAACTCCTTATAAAAGATTTTGAGTGGTCAATGTAAATACGATCGAACGATTTTTATAGCGTAAGACTTAGATATATTAATTACTTAGAATTGTTTCAAAATAAACAACTTAATTTCGAAATTAGTTAAATTAAAGAACAATACTTATATTGTTTGACATAGCAAAAATATTCGTAAGGTAAAACGGTTGTTGTTTATTTCGCGACTATTACAACTTACAACATCTTACAACGTCTTAAAATGTATGTTTTGTTCTATAATTGTTTCGGTATTTTTCCCACAACCTTACCTACAGTAAATTGTATCTGTTCTGTCTAACTTGAACTATGCATAATATTATGCTGAAGGACAATATTTCCTTAAAGAAAATAAAACATCATTTGTAATTTTCTATTGTTCACCTACTTTTTCTTATTAAAACATTGCAAAACTTATTTGTAATTACAAAATGTGTTTTGTTTTGTTACAGGCACACTGGAACCGATTTTTATTACTACTTTCCACCATAACACTATGGATTATCGAGTTGAGTAAGTAAAAGTGACGTTTTCATTTTCATTGTAACCTTTTAAAATATTATTTACAAATCGCGTGAAGGAAATTAACTCGTTTAAGAGATCACGACGCTTCCGGGATCATTGCAAAATTTACAATCCAATTCCTTCCACATTCTAAACAACCTACTTTACTATTTACCTCACAAAAAGAGAACGGAAAATAAATTTTCGGATTACAACTTGGTTTAAATCTGACGCTTATTACATACAATTTGTGTCTGCAGACAACGTAAACGACTTTTTGTGTTGATCCCGAAATGTCAGACGTAAACCTAACCTAGGTTAACATTAAGAAATATCCAGAACTTATTCTAATCAACATAAATAGTCTCTATGACTAAGTTGGTAAATTTGTGACTCGTTTTAAATTCGAATTGGTTAAGTCGTTAACATATTTTGGATGCCGATTACAAGAGTCGATACTGAAACCGAAAGTAGAACGAAAAGTTGCGCATAAATTTAAATCAACCCGATCTACTAAATTAATTAACATTCCATGATCGTTGTTGGTACCATTTTCATCGATTAACAACACCTCGTGTTCTATTTTATTTTTTCTTGTTGTTTGAGTTTACAACTTACAATCAGTATTTCTTCTTTGAATTGCGAAATAACTCGTGCATTAACAATCATTTGTTAAAACAATTTAAATGCAATCATTTTCTTTTGTTTATGGAATTTAATATAAAATAAATTCATGGGATATTCCACAGAATTTATTTTATTAATGTTTCAAAGAAACCGTCTAAGGAAACGTGTTTAGATTGCAGGATATTGCTCTTCCGGTTAAACAGACGGCACATCGTCACAAGAAAATAAAAAAAAACGAACAAAGAGTTTCAAAATTATTTGATTTTAAATAAAAATAATTCTTTTAAAATTGTTTTTGTTTAATAAAAATTAAGTTATGATTGATTTGAAAGCATTTGATGGATCATGGTGGTTGGCAAACAAAAATGACCGTTATAATAACCCAGGAAATAATGTCATCGGCTATTTTTACGAGTTAGCTTCCTACACTAAATGATTAATTTGTAAATTTTATCACATAATTTTTTTTAATACATTTTTGTTTTTTAATCTATGGAAATTAACTTGGCAGAAAACTTGAAACTTGTTCCCATTTCCTCTCTTCATGGCCTTTCACATTCCCTCATAAATAAAATATTGAGACAATTAATTAAAGTGTCCACGTGCTAAGAAATGATAACCTTGATATTTTCGTTAAATCGTATTGATAACCCAATTAAACAATAGAAATCACCCAAATATTTTCAATAACATTAAATACTTATGTGGACATTTTGAGTAAAGTACAGGTCACTATGAAAGAATGTCGTTCTTCCAACCTTGAACTATACAAGAGAGTAAGAAGTATATTATGTATGGTGTATTTTCCTTGGCTCATTCTTACACTCCATATTGTATACGTAACGCCTTAATTTACGTTTCCTTATGAATTTTGAATTTTATCTTATAGATGCGAAAGAAGTAAGAATAGTTTGTTATTACACAAATTGGTCGGTGTACAGACCAGGAGATGCCAAATTCAATCCTCAAAATATCAATCCTTACCTTTGCACGCATTTAGTATACGCCTTTGGAGGATTCACCAAAGAAAACACATTAAAACCGTTCGATAAATATCAAGATATAGAGAAAGGTGAGTAACTGAAACTAGTTTAAATTTTATCCTTGATATTTATGGTATTCGAAAACTTGTTGTGGAATTAACGAAAAAAAAGTTCAAGGCAAACATTTATTATCAGATCCACACCAATTTATTTTTTTTTTTTCATTTTAAATCAAAAATTTTAATATTTTTAGGTGGTTACGCAAAATTTGTTGGTTTGAAAACGTACAATAAAAACTTAAAGACACTCTTGGCTATCGGAGGATGGAACGAAGGATCGACGAGGTTCTCACCGATGGTGGCAAATGCGGACCGACGAAAAGAACTTGTTAAAAACACGATCAAATTCCTTCGTCAAAATCATTTCGACGGATTAGATTTGGATTGGGAATACCCAAGCTTTCGAGATGGCGGGAAAGCGAGAGATCGTGACAATTATGCTCAATTAGTTCAGGAATTACGTGAAGAATTCGATAGGGAATCGCAAAAAACCGGAAGACCTAGGTTGTTATTAACCATGGCTGTTCCGGCTGGTATCGAATATATCAATAAAGGATATGATATACCAAAATTAAATGAGTAAGTGGCTTCTCTTTTTGGTGAATTTCTTCTGACATATTTATTTGTATTTAGATATTTGGATTGGATGAACATTTTAAGTTACGATTATCATTCAGCTTACGAACCAGCGGTTAATCATCATTCTCCACTTTATCCCATCGAAGAAGAAAACGAATACAGTCTCGACATTGATCTAAATATAGATTACACCATTAAACACTATGTAAAAATGGGGGCCGATAAATCTAAATTAGTCCTTGGAATACCGACTTATGGAAGATCATACACTTTATACAACCCGGATGCAAACGAAATCGGATCTCCAGCGGATGGACCAGGAGAAATGGGGGAAGCTACAAGAGAAAACGGCTATCTTGCTTATTACGAAGTCTCTATTTCACCTAACATTTTCAATTTATTTTTAAAACAAAAAAAATTTAATTACAGATTTGTGAAAACTTAAAATCGGAAGATTGGACTATAGAAGCACCATATCCAGACGCAATGGGGCCATACGCTTACAATAATAACCAATGGGTGGGTTACGATGATGAGGAAATTGCAAGCAAAAAAGCTGAATATGTCGCCAAAAACGGTTTGGGTGGAATAATGTTTTGGTCCATCGATAACGATGATTTTAGAGGGAAATGCGGTGAACGACCGTATCCCATCATCGAAGCCGCTAAAGAAGCTTTATTAAAAGCTTACGGTTTAACAGACGCCAGCTTATTAGCAACAACCAAAAAACCGATCAAAAATAGATCCAAAACAAGGGGAACAACGAAAGTAATTGAAAGCACAACGGAAACATCACCCTCGATTCGCCCAAGACCCAACTCAAGAAGGAAAAACATCAATAGAGTTACCGAAGATGGTAAACAAAAAAGACGACCTGCAAGTGGAAGAAGTAAAAAGAAGCAACAAACAACGACGCTTAGCTCAATTAGTAGTTTGGTAGTTACACCTAGTTATACCACCCCAGCTCCTCCAAGCACCCCGGATGGTGGGGGCGACTTTAAATGCGAAGACGAAGGATTTTTCCCACACCCCAAAGACTGCAAAAAATATTTCTGGTGTCTTAGCGGACCTTCCGATCTTGGAATCGTGGCCCATCAATTTACTTGCCCCGCAGGTTTATATTTCAATAAAGCAGCAGCTTCTTGTGATTACTCCCAAAACGTTTTATGCAACAAAAAGCTATCTAAATCAACAACAACAACCACCACCACAACAACATCCCCTTCATCAACAAGAAAACCTCCACCAAAAATTACAGCAGCAACTAGTCGAACCACAGTAACAACAACCGAAGAACCTGAAATTGAAGACGAATACGATGAAGAATACGACGAAGAAATTCTTGGAGGCGCCAAAGACGCCGAACAAGACCCAAGGGTTATCAAAGAATTAATCGAATTGATCAAAAAAGCTGGGGGCATTGAAGAATTGGAGAAGCAATTAAATATATCTGATGGTAGTGGTGGAAATGTTAACGGAAATACTAATTTAGATGCGACGACTCGTTCTAGTTTAAATAAATCGTTATATCAACGTGTTCTTGGACGAGCTACTGCCACTTTAAATGAACAAAAGAAGACATCTTTTAAAACGTAAGTACAAAATGATTTTTTTTTGTATTTATCGTGAAAAAAAAACGTTTTTAGATACAATACAATCGGAAGAAATAGTAGAGGCCCACAAAATGAAGGAATAGATAATGAAAAAATCGAGAAATCCGTTGAAACTCCAAAAACGCGAGGTCGTCCTCAATACACATCAATAATTCGTTCCAGGTAAAAATTAATAAGTAATTATAAAAATAGTTATAACAAATTGTGCAATTTAGGCCGTCGACTGAAGCTAGCGAACAAGAAATAAAGAAACCCGTCGAAGATGATGAACAAAGTGAACAAGATGCAATTTCTGAACCACCAACAACTCGTTTACGGTCATCGCCATTTAGAAAATCTCAACCTGAATATGTAACAATTAGACGACAAAGAATAACGACTACGACAGAAATAAATGATACGGAAGACAAAGAAAGTTATGCTGACGACGAAGAGAATGAGTCCAAGTCTCGATCTACAACCTCGTCTCCGTATGTTACTATTAGAAGATTTAGACCTACAACAGAAAAATCTAAAGAAAATGCGAATAATGAGAATACCGAAGAAAATACAACTACACCAAGGTAATATTTTAAACGAAATGATTAAAAAAGAATTTTTAGTTATGATAAAATTTTCGTATTTCTCAATTGTGTGGTATTTTAATTCAATATCTAAAAAAACGTGAAATGAATTTATAGGAACTAAAACGTGATGTTTATATAAAACGAAAACTGAGATTTCTGATAATAATGAGTTGTTTTAATCGCTATAAATACACTCAGGATGATTTTAAAATTAGAGAAAACTTCATTTTAATATTTCCTTTTATTTTTATAGATACGTTGAATTAAGAAGCAGAGGAACGACTACTTCCACGGAAGCTTCATCATCATATTCACCTGAAATATCTTCTACGCAATCATCAATTGATGAAAATTTAAATTCAGTGGAAGAAAATACGGTGGAAAATACGGATGAACATAGCAATATAACTGAATTGAATAATGTTATAAATAAAACGGATGGTTTGAACGATGTTGTTGATAACATAAGGGAAATTATTAATAGTCAAAAAGAAGAGGAAGCCGAGAAAATACCGGTTTTAGCTGACCCAAGACCGTTTTCTTTAAATAATCAAAGAAAACATACAATATTCACCCCATCTGTGCCGACAACAACAACAACAACAAAAACAACAACTCAAGATATTTTAGAAAATCAAAGATTAAAGGTGAGTGTAGGTATTAATAAAAATTTTAATCAACAACAACAAGAGGATGGGAACAATGATGTATTAGACGACGATAAATTTCCATCAAAACATCGATTTTCAACGGAAACTTCCAATGATGACTATCAAATCAATAAAAGAATTCGCGGAAGAGGCCAATCAAGATTTACAGGTCATCAAACTGTCGCGACCACGATTAGACCACGTCCAGTTATTAAAGTTACCGAAAAACCTTACAGCGATTATGAAATAATCGAATATAATCGTAAATATCGTCCGGATATTGTAGCAGAAATATCAGATTTATCATCGTTGTTAGCAGTTGACTTAAAAGATTTAAATTCTGGAAGAAATAATGGTAGGAGAAGACGTCCAACAACTACCACAACATCTACCACTACAACCACTTCAGAACCAAATGAAATTGAAAAAACTGGATCAAGAACGATTCCGTTAGCTAGAAAATTGTTAAATGGGGCTCAATTTGGTAGATCAAATCGATTTAGATCTACAACAAGTACAACAACTAGTACAAGTAAAGTTAGATTGGTTGGAGAAAGTAAAGATGATGAGAATGGGAAGGATGTTACTGAAAAAGTTGTGATTAAGAAATTTGGTAGACCGCTTGCGTTTAAAAATCCTAATCGATTCAGAAAAAACTTTAATATAAGTGAAGAAACTCAACAAGTTCATTCAACAATAAGTCAATCGACAACAAGTCAATCAACTACAAGTCAATCAACTACAAGTCAATCAACTACAAGTCAATCAACTACAAGTCAATCAACTACAAGTCAAACAATACCAAATCAATCAACAACAAATCAATCAATAACAAGTCCTACAACAACGACAACGTTACGAAGTTTACCAACAAGAAGAAGAATCGTTTTGAGAAAGTTAATTAAACCTCATACAACAAGTACAACGACGAGTACAACTACAACATCAACAACACCAAGCACAACATCAACAACAACAAGTACAGAGCCAACAACAATTAATGTAACAGAAAAGGAAATTTTAACATCAGAAAAAGTTGGGTTGGAAAAAGAAACTTTGGTAACTGAAAATGAAAGTATACCAACTGAAGCTCAAACAACAATAAATACAAACAAAGGAGATGATGATAAAGAAAAAATAACTCTTCGAAATGAAATATTGGAAACGAAAAAAGTGTTAGTTGATAAAGAAGATGGTGATGATGATAAATCTGAAGAAGCTGATGATAATGAGGAAGAAGGTGAAAATATTAAACTTTCAGAATCAATTGTAAGAGAAAGCAGCCAAAATTTTCGAAATAATCTACAAGAAGGTATAATATTTGGGAAAGAAGATAAATCATTTAAATCGATCAATTTCGATGAAAAAAGAAAGTTTACGACTGAGTTACCCTATTCAATTCGTACTCGTAAAATAATCAGGAAATTGACGACCACAGAAGTTCCTCAAAGTTCTTCAACCGAAACTGAAACGAAATTTAAAAAAATAATTTCTAGATTAAAACCAACCACTGGTTTTGGAAATGAAAAATTCGAAACGAGTACAATTTCTTTACTAAACAAAGAACCGAAAAGAAAATACGGTTTTAGAAGATTATCTTTGCCCAAAAAATTGAATGAAGACGAAAATGAACCGGAAATTAAAACTAAACCCGACGAGAATCAAGATAATTTTAAACCTTTAAAACCAACAAGTTTTAAACCCAACCGACCGTTATTCAGACGAAGAAAAATTACAAACTTAGAAAAAAATGAACAAAGATTTATTACATCAACCCAAAAACCTCTCCAAGAAGATTTACGTTTAAATAAATCATTGTACAACCGAAGAATTCCCACTTTTACAGTTTATAGCACAACAACAACAACCGATAATTATAATTTAAATCAAAATGAAGAAGAAGAAAGCACAATCAGTACAGAAAAGGAAAATGTTGAGGTAAAAGATAAAATAAATTATGAAACCACAACAGAATTTGAGAAAGAAACGAGTATTTTGGATAATTTAAGAACAATGTTTAAAGAAGAAGATTTAAAGGAAACATCAACTATCGATTTGAAAGAAATTATTTCGACAACTTCGTTATGGAATGATGAAACAACTTTAAGTGATGATGAAACTACGTTAAGCGATGATAAAACAACGTTAAGTGAGGATAAAACAACTTTAAACGAAGATGAACCAATATTAGATGATGATAAAACAACAATAATAAATGATCATCGTATATTGGATGAGGAAACAACTTTATACGATGATAAAACGGCAATAAGCGATGATGAAACAACTTCAACTGATAACAAAACGACATTAAATGATGAAGAAACAACTTTAAGTACTAAGATTAAAGAAACGTTTGAAAATGAACAAACGACAGAAGAAATATTAAACACAACGTTTAAACCAAAAGTAGTAACTTCTTCAATAAATCATCCTTCAACGAGGTATGGGGAATCATCTAATTTAACATTATTTTCAAGAGTAGGTCGATTATATTTAAAAAATAAGCAATATGGTGGTATAAACAATCTTCTAGGTGGTGATAAATCAAGTCAAAGCTCAACTACTGAGTCACCGTTAAGTAAACTTTTACATCGAAAGAAAGAACTTGAAAGATTGTCAACAACTACAGAAAAAGAAGAAACCATAGAAAATGTTCAATTTGAAAGTGATGTAAATGAGTTTACGACTGAAAATGATGAAATTGCAACAAATCAAGAAGATTTAATAACAACTATTAATGATTTGATAACAACAACAGCTTTGGATGATTCTTCTTCAATTGAAACTTCAACTGAATATGTATCAACAACGACAACAACAAGGAAACCGAGTCGATTGTTTAGACCAATTGCATTGAGACCGAAATTTACAGGAAGACTTAAATCAGATTTATCAACAACTTCAACAACATCGTCTCCTTTTACTTCTGAAAGAATTAAAGCTAACAGATTTAATAAATATAAACCAACGCCAAGGAGATTTTCTTCTAGTTCCACGACAGAAAATCAAGAGAAAGATGATGTAATAATCGATGAATCAGATGAATATGTTGATGAATTGGATGATGTCGATGAAAAAGAAAAACAAAAACCAAGTTTGTTTTCAAAACCGGGTTATAAACCGAGTTATATTATATTAAAACCATCGGATAATGAAGATGAATATGAAAGTAATGAAGATGTTTCGTCCCAAAAACCATCGACAAGAACATATAAAAAGTTCACGACACCCGCACCTGTTTCTCAAAATTTACCTGATATAAACATAACAGTCGTTAGTCAAAGAAATCGTAATTTATTTAATAAAACAAGAAAAATGAATACTCCATTCCCAAATATTCCGTTTAGAAACGAAACGAACACCACGAACTCAATAGAACAAAGCTTATTAACATCAACAAAACAAGATGAAATCACTGAAAAAATAACATCATCAACTACAACAACCGAAAAAGTTACAACTCTCCATCACATTTTCGCTGAAACTGAAAATCCAAATGAAATGACAACAAAGAGTTACCCACAACAAATCGATGAGAAAAAAGTTGAGAAAATCGTTGAGATTAATCGAATTGTAAAAGTAACGTCGAAAGTTAAAAATGGAACCGATGAAAAAATTGATGGCGATGATAAAGTTGATAAAAGTAGATTGCTTGTATCGAGGGTTGTTGAAATAAAAGTGGTTGAAAGTGAAAATGGAACCAACATAACGAGACAAGATAAAAAATATGAAACGAATCAAAAAAATGATTTTGATATTCCCGTTAGTAACAATCAAAACGGGATTCAGGTGAATCAAATACGAATTGATTCTGTTTCTTCTTCGAAAAAGATTACGCCGAAACCTTTTTATTCGGTTGAAACGGCGACGATTCCATTGGAAGGACTTTTCCAAACGAATCATCCGCCGGAAGAAAAAGTTGATTTACAAAATGAACTTTTGGAAGGTGAAAATTCTAATTATGTAAACGTGAGGGTTTTACAACAAGACACGAATCGTTTGGGCGATAGAAGAAAAATCGCAAATGGGAAATTTATTCCCGTTCGGATTTTAAAAGATAACGAAGATGAAGAAGTCAAAGCGGATGTTATTGAAGTAACTCCATCGGAAAGTAATCAACAAATAAGAATAGTACCGATTTCAGTTTCTATACAGCAAACAAATTAAAAAAAAATGAATGAATTTTATTTAAACTTGAATTTTAGAGAAAAAAAAAACAATTTTTATGGTTTTATTTATCTTACCTCAAGTTTTGATTTATTTAAAATTAATTTAAGCGGTTTTGGTTAGATAAATAAAATTATAAACATTCCAGTATTTGTACATATTATCTTTATTTTAGTAACCGAAGTATTTAGTAATAAAAATATACTATTATTTTTGTTAAGTTTTTACACCTTACAATTATTGTAATTTGTGATGATAAATAATATACATAGAGGGATGTGTGTGTGTGTACATAATATTTTCTTTTTTTCTATTTCTTTAACCCTAAAGCACGAAATCCTATTTTCTTTACAAATTTTAAGACTACGATCACGGAATCACTAAAAATGGCTGTTTAAATAAAGTTTAAGTCGCTTTTTTATGTCTGTTTGGCCAGTCACTTTCATTTTATTATCTTGTACATTAATTATGTTAATTTAATTCAAATATAGTTTCTATCTTTATAGTCTTTTCTTTCTTTTATACTTTATCTTTTTTATACCTACATTCACATATACTTACATATTTTCTCAATCGAACATTAAATTTATACTGTTTCGATTGATAAAATATATAAATTTATAAAGCACACTTAAAACAGTTTTCATTTATAAATGTAATTTGTTATAATGCAATAATTATGAAATTATAAATAAAATACGCCAAATTATTATATTAGAAATTATATTAAAAAAAAAATGGCGAATTTAAATTTGACAGTTACTGTCATCTGATATTTGTAAATATACAGGTGTACCTAATTATTTGCAATAACTCATACTTAATAAAATGATTATTTTATTATTTATGATTATAAAAAAGAAAATTTTCACCAATTAATTACAACTAAAAAATAAAACAACCGCCCAACCCAAGTCGTAATTATTTATTCAAAAAAGTAATATAATTACACATCACAAGAAATAATTCACCTTGATACAAAACTTCTATGTTTTCAGATCACTTTAAATCCACAAAGATTGCACCAAAATACAACGATTTTTAGGAGTAATTCTAGAAGAAGAACGTACAGACCGACCACCGAGTCAATTCTAAAAGACCGAGATGACGGCAACGTTCAAACGGTCCAAGGTGAGCTGTTCACTTTTTTTTTAATTGTTTTACTCACGACGACTGCGACTGAAACCGGTCTACAGAATTCTAAAAAGGCGAATAAACCGATTGGATAAGGTGACGTTAAACTCAAAAATAAACTAAATAAATAAAGACGAAAGTGAGAGTTGTCGTCGTTGTCGTTTAGGTATTGGAATTTTCTCAATTACCACTTTCAATGTCACTACTAAGTGAACGTCTTAGAAATTTGTGAAAATATGGGTGGGATTTAATGCGTTTAAGAAGCTAAACTCGATTTAAAATAACAAGGTGAAAAAAAAAGTTCTGAACTCACCCCTAAAGTTGACAGCGTCACCAAGGTTTCCCCCAGATCACCTTTTCGACAATCTAAATTCACAATTTTTTTTCTAAAATTAGTGACGTTACTAAGAACAACTATGAGGAATAGGCATCTTTTTTCCTTACCTTTGTATGTTACATGTTCTAGTAAAAATTGAAATGCCACAAATTTACTAAAAGACTTAAAATCCACCATGGGTGAAAGAAAACGGGCCCAAGCTGTCATAAAATTGTGATTTACTCGTTAAACACGTTTCTTGGAAGCGATATTTTTGAGTTTTATGCTTATGCGCAGATGAGTAAAAAGTTACAAACTCATCTTAGCGCTACATCTTAGGGCCTTCATAGTTGTGGACATAGTAATACTGCTGGAAAATGAAATAAGTCTACGGGATGTGGCAAAAACTGTTTCTTATAACTAGCTCTTCTCATCAACGACTTGGTACTGGTCCTGCACCATTATTTCTGCATTAAAAGATCGAAGCCAAACCACTAGAATGTTTCAAACTGCCTTCGACAAGCTCAAAGAACAACAATTTACGTTTCTACTGTTCGACGAAGGTTAAAAAAAGTAGTTTAATAACTTACAGTGTAGCTACAACATCTTTGCTCACTGCAGCTCACAAAAAACGTAGACTTGTTTTCGCCTGAGAACATCTACTAAGGGCTACTGAAAAACGTATTGCTCACAGATGAGTGCAAAACCTGTCTTCTGAATTCTGGTATACAGAAGAGCGAGCGATCATTATACTGCCTGTACTTGATCATCTCGAGTTGCTTTTAGGGGTGGCTAAGTAATGTTTTGGACAAGAATTTCTTTTGATACCCACACGGATCTCGTTCCGATTGACAGAGGCACATTAATAGCATGACTATATATACCTAGCAGATATCTGTTTTCTCTGACGCGCAGAAGCGTTTTATATATGAATCTTTGTTCGAACGGGAATATGGGGCTGCTGGTAGCCTAGAGTTAACCAGTAAAAAGTTCTCCTCTATATGGCCCTCCCTGAAACTGCCTTCTAGAACCTTATCAAGGGGTTCTAAAAGATGTCGTTTTTCGTGACCAACCTCTCGCTCATTTCACTCCTTCTCCTACTATCGTCCCTGGATATCATCCCACTCTCCAAACTTTCCACCAACCACATCGTTCCATATTAATCAGAGAACTAGCGAGCCATAGAACCATAAATCCGTTAAAATTTGTTAATTATTTACTTTCCTATGATCCTTAGCCAGCTAGGGGATTGTTTGTGCCAATAACCTTCCATAGTTTTAACACCTGATTTTTAAACCTGCTTGCCAGAACTTGTTTACATTCTCCTATTCTGCGAATTTTAAACCCAGCCTCTCTTCTTTTTACTTGGTAGTGATTACCACTCTTATGTATGTCTCCATGTTGCACCATCCCTCTCTGCTACCAAGCATCATCGCCATGCTGTTGTTCTCCGACGTTATCCTTCATCCCATTCTAATGTTGGGAAGCTTCTCTTTCATTGGTCCATCTCAGGTAATGATAGAAAATATGTTCCACATCATCAATCTTGTCACAACACTTGTGCTTGTATAAATAAGCCTTAAAACAACCATGATCCAAGATAAACTAACTCAAATAATAGTTGGTATTGATCATCTTGTTCCAAACACTTCAAAAATTAACGATTTGTTGCAATAATTAACTTAGTATAACAACAAATCATCCTTACTTACGCCTTACTTTCATAAAATCTTATTCCCTACAATAGAAAACACTTTCAAATATTTCCACCATACAAAAATGGTAATAAACAACTTATAAGTAAACACTTTTTCTTGTACGCTTCGTTTTAGTGAAAGTGATGGCAATAAACTTTTAAAATACGTTCTCTTTATTTACAATTAAAAAAAATTGAAAAAGAAAAGTTTTATTTAACTTACATTACTCATTTATTTTTTTTTTTTTCATTTATAACAAATATCTTATTTTTATTTTTATTTTTTAGGAATTATGACAAGCTTAAAACCTGAATCATACACATCAACGGAATCAATTCGGAAACAATATTTTCGGAATAGAAACCGATCAAAACCACCAAAAGTCCAAATAACAACTACGAGTGTTAATCGATTTATTGAAACTGTTGGAATGACGGATCAGGCATCAGATTCAAGTAATCAACAATTAAATAATAAAGATACCGAACCACCGTTAACTATAAATGAAGTAAATCGTGCAGTTAATCGGAGTAAACAACCTCAACAAGGTCCGTTAAAATTAACTTTATTTCCTCGAGATGAAACGATCCCCAGAAATAAAGGGCGAAAAACAACTATAGTAGTAACAACAACCCCAAAAATAATGAATCCAACGGTTAAAACGAAAACTAGGCTTGAAAATGTTACACCCTCCCAATTGGTAAAAACGATAAAACCGTTAAAGTACGATTATTTCGAAAATTTTAGTGGAATTTTAAAAAGCATTCCAGAACATAGTAAGGTACTTATTGATGATAACGGAATTATTCATTGTTTGGATCAAGGAAATTTTCCTCATCCAGTTTCTTGCAAAAAATTTATATCTTGCGCGAGAATGGAAGGAAGAGTTTTAGGTTGGGAATACACGTGTCCTAAAAATTTAAGTTTTGATCCAATCGGTGGGTTATGTAATTGGTCCGCTGACTTAGGATGCGACGAATAAATGGAATCAGAATTTTCTTTTTATTAATTACTTAATAATTGTATTTATTTGTTTAGTTTGTAAATTTATTAAATGTGTTGTAAATAAAAAGTTATCTTACGTCATTTAATTATTTTGTAACAAACCTGTAGCAACGGTAAGTATTTTACAAATTAAAAAAAGTGGGGCAAAAAACAATATAGCTTTACCTCACTCGTTATATTTATTCTAGTATAAGTAAAATTTCTTATTAATACTTGTGTTTGTGAAAAAGTGATTGGAGTTATTTATTCAGATAGGAATAGGGTGTGTATGCTATGTAATACTTAATACTAAGTTTAATGTCATTGCTGTGTGTTATTTTTACCTCTTAATACTTTCTTAATACTTAATTATAATCAATTAATAGTGCGAGTAATTGTTGAACTAAAACTAGAACTAACACTAGAACTGACACATAATATAGAACTAGAATCATTCGGGTTTAGCCGTCCTGAGAGACGAGCAGCTAAACCCGAATGATTCTAGTTCTAGGTCTAGTGTTAGATTTAGTTTTACACTAACACTATCACTAGATTTAACACTAGACCTAGAACTAGAATCATTCGGGTTTAGCCGTCTTGAAAGACGTGCGGCTAAACCCGAATGATTCTAGTTTTAGGTCTAGTGTTAGATCTAGTTTTACACTAACACTATCACTAGAACTAACACATGATATAGAACTAGAATCATTCGGGTTTAGCCGTCTTGAGAGACGTGCGGCTAAACCCGAATGGTTCTAGTTCTAGGTCTAGTGTTAGTTCTAGTTTTAGTTATTATTCAGCATTCGATTGTTGTATATTTTGGAAACCTCTTCATATTCAACAAATAGTGATGTTTACATAGAATTTTAATTATTTTTTAACCAATTTAGGAATTGTTGAACTTTAGGATGTTGTTTTGATCAATAAATTACGTTTAACCCATTTTATCTATTTTGTGAATGAATTATGTAAATTACAAGGAAAGAATGTTGTTTTACAACAAATCATTAATAAAAGAATACGGTATATTAAGAAGATACAAAGTATATTTCGTCATATCCACTCAATTGCGTCACCAATGCAAGAAGAACGGTTACAACTCCCTTTTCAAAATAAATATTGCGTCATATTACACCACATTACGTCAAGAATTTTAAAGTATCAAATAATAAGAGAAAATGTCTTAACATGATTTGGAATTAAAAAGAAGTATTAAAATTTAAATTTAAACTTATTTAGTTAATAAATTAATATTATTAAAAATTATTTGTAGATAATTTGGTTCTTCTAACCAATAAGAGATGGCGGGGATTACCAAAAATAAATCCCAAAATTATGCAATTAATTTTTTGATTATGTTTTAATAAATATGTTATTGCGTTAAATTAGAATTAAATAATAAATGTTTAAAAATTTAATGTTTAAACCTTATTTGGGTGTTTAATAGAAAATTATTAATAGTTTGGATACTTGCCAAAAGGTGGCAGCTGTCAACAGTTAACCTCAATTCATGAACTCTCAAGTTCGTTGGTGACGTCAGAAAAGTGGATTTCGTTTTTTAATAAGTACGGTATCGCTGTGAGATTATCATCAGTCCTGTAGGTGTTTTAACCAATACTATTAATACAGTTATCCATAAAATCACCAGTTGTGTCTTTGCATTAATCATTTTCAATATGAGTTTAAGTGAGTTTTTATTTTTTTCCCATAATTTATTTCATAATTTCACTTTCCATTTTATATTTCGTACCAAATCGTTTATTTTAATCATTGCTTCCTTTAAAAACTCGTGATACATACTTTTCTAAGAATATCAGATAGTTATTTAATGATATTGACCTTCACGTTTTAGTTTTTAACCTCAATTTTTTATGTAATCTTATTGTTTAGACGTGAAAATGGGTGACCGTCCGATTTTTATGTACGAAGAGGAAAGCCAATCCGAAAAATTGGCTAGAAAATCCAAAGAAACACCTGTATTTCCAATTGGTGAGATTTTTTTTTATTTAAAATTCAAAATTTGTAATAACACTTGTTTTTATGTTTGTAGCTATTGCAGCATGTGTAGCTGCTGTAGGAGTTGGAGTTTACAAATTTAATAAACGGGGGAAAATGAGCCCCAGTTTGTTTTTAATGCAACTTCGTGTCGGTGCTCAGGGAGTGGCAGTGGGTGCACTTACATTAGGTTTAATTTATACTATGGTTGATCAACATATATTAAAGAAGAAAAACTAGAAAAGTTATATATCTAACTTGCATATTTTGGTGTAAATTTTGCTAATGTATTCTAGTAATATTTTGAGCAATAATTGTGAATATAGTGCAAGCTATTTCTTATCTTTTTTCACAAAGGTTTTAAATTATTTATCTCATTGTACTGTGTTATCATCAACGCCTGATAAAGATGAAGGTAGTTTAAGTATTTTTAGATAATACATAACTTATTTTTATGTACAACATTTATTTAAAATAAAAATCTAAATAACACATTTTCTTTTATTATTATAAAAATGACAATTTTGTTGTTATTATGTAATAAGAATGTGAAATATTTATATAATTATTTTCAATTATCTTTTGAGAATTTAATCTTTTCATAATACACAAAGTTAATGTACAAAGTCTAGTTCTACATTCAAAATCCTTTTTAAAATACAATAATTATTTCTCAGATATAAGTAACTCTGATAAGATTACCTCTAATCAATATCCTGCTTATTAGGAGTGTAAGTATTTCCTTATATTAACAATTCATTTAATATTGATAATCTAATTTTTATTAATTTGCAAATTTTGATAGTAAAACAACAAATAATCTGCAACAACATCCCAAATTACATTCATTTTTAAGATATATTTTACTTCAATAGACTATATGCCTTTAGATGCATCTGGGTTATATGCATAAAATCTTTAAGGAACCTCAGCTTACAATGTATGAGCAGATATAACTTCAATAATATTAGAACTTAAATTTGAATGTTTCAGGGCGCTAAAGCATCTTTGGCTGCGGTGTTTCCCCAAGACGTGGAAATCCACAGATGTAACCGTTTTCTTGAAACCAGGATAATCCCAGACCAGAAAATTGCCGTCCTATCAGCTTGATTTCTGTTCTAGGAAAGATAGCCAAAAGAATTGTACTGCAATGACTAGCAGAGGTAATGAGGGAACTGAACGTCATACCAGAAGAACTACACCATCCACCACGTTGTCAAAATCGAACCTATCTCCAAATTCATCTTGCGGACAGCCAATAAGACGAAAGTTATCTCAACCCAAAGTTTGTATATAAGAGGTTGTCTAGGTTTATACGCAACCATACTGCGCATTACGTCATTGGCTACAAATAATACCGGGAAATAATTCAAATTTTTAAAATAATGTAATTGAATTAGTTTAATATATTTAGTGTGGTATATAATTAACAGCGGTAGTAAAATGGAAAATAATTCAGCTTAGTTTTTGATATAAATTCAATTATCATAAAATAATTGAGGGAAACTACAGTAGTAATTCATTTATGTTATCACTAGAGAAGACACTTCGACTCTCACTAATCATGACCTTGAGGTTGCGCGCGCAATCCGCGGCCACTTACGTCACGAAACACTCCTGTTCTTGCACCTCGTTCACAAACTATTGCAGTATAGGAACTTAGACAACCTTTAATATATGTCTATTGGAGAGTTTTACTGAATACCCTTGCTTTGGAGTTATGTAAACAACATTTACAATATCAACAAACAATTGTAACATTCCCATAAAACGTAAAAGCGTGTTTATAATTAATATGTCCAAAGACTGTAGTTGAAGAAGAGATACCACCAAAACGTCCAAAGATTGTATTGAGTCAAGATCCTCCTTCTGGGTGGGTACAGATCGGCCAAAGAACTACCTAGAAGACAATTAAAAAAAAATTAATTTATCTACATTAAAAGAAGTAAAACAAAACCTTAGTACCAACATTAGTCATCGTGATTGTATCTAATATGTTTGTACATGCAAGAACTATCAAAGAGTTCTATGCGATAATGGATTTTTTAGCAGTACACGCTGAAGAATGCCGCTAATTTCGGAAAAGAATTGCCGTCTTCGAGTTTGCTTATTTTCATGTTGGCAAGGGCGAAGGGGAAGGGAGGGGGTGAGGTTGGTAGCCAGCTTTAGATGTGGATGTTGAGGAGGGGGGTGCAGACTATGTGGGGAGGGTTTGGAGTCTTTACAGTATCTGCTGGTGGAGTGTAGTGATTGTAGTGAGTTGAGGGAACAGGATATGGATTGGAGGGAGGTGTTGGGGTAGAGGGCGGAGGGAAGGAGATGGATGGGGAGGAAAGGGATAGGAATTATATAAGTATTGGTATTGTAGTTTAAATTGTAAATTGCAACTTTGTGCAAACAATAAATTATTATTATTATGTTGACAAGAGAATGGATTTCTGGTCGAGGGCATTGTCATAGTTTGGAGAGCTATAGCAGCATCAGGTGTGGAAAAACTGCTGTGCATTATGGATCTTAATACTGATCTAATTTAAAAGGATTTTGTATACATTGCAAGTATACAGCAAGCATTGTCAAACACAATCAGACCTCCACAGAGTCGGAATTAAAATCCGATTGGACTTGTTTGAGGACTTTTGGAGCGTAGGATGTGGTAGTGTAAAATAACTGATGTCAAAAAGTTGAAATCTGCATTAATGAAATCATGGAATGAAATAACAACAAACTTGGTTGCTTCAAAGCCAACAAAATACTAAAAATTTTGAAAATTGTCGCTTAAAATAAGGCTTAAAACCTGTTCTTCGTCAATGATGCCTCTATTGCGTACGCAAATTTTCGCTCCACCTTTACCTTGATCCTCCGAGACTTCGCTTACCTAGCGACGATTTATCCCTGTCGTATAGAATTTTACTGGTGATTCTGCGAAGTATCTTCATTTACTGTTTCCAATACCCGTTTTGTTTTAGACGCTCCACGTCTAGTCTCAGCCGTATATGATGCTCTTATATATTCTCGATTTTGTGTTGATATGTAGATGCTTGTTCCTCCATAAGGTACCGTTTAAGCGGATTTAGCCTGCGATTTTACTAGCTGTCCTGACTTGTTGAGATACTTCCTCTACAATATTACTACAACTTGATAGTTCAAGTACCTGAATGTCATGACCTGCTCTATTATGTTCTGGTTCACTTACATCGAAGTGGCTCTTTCGCTGTTGTCATGCATTTAGTTTTTTGAGCAGCAATGGACTTGTTGAATTGTTTCGCTATATTGTTAAATGCTTGTGGGATTCTTAATGCAGAGGATCACAAATTCTTGATTATTCATTTTGTAGCCCCTGCTCATTTTAATTTTTTTTATGGTTTCATCCATTACAAGATTGAATAGTAGTGGGACTCAATATATCCCGTTGTCGAATGCCAGCATTTACAGGTATTTCTTTAGTGAGTTTTCCATTTATCTGTGCTTGTATGCTGAATAGATGTTTTAACTATATTTGTCGATATTCTGCCGTTCAGTATAGCAGTTTTATGACATCCTTTAATCTAATCTTATCAAATCCCTTTAGTACATCAATGAAAGATAAGAAGGCGGGTTTATTATAATCTATTGACCTTTCTACGACTTGTATCATCACGAATACAGCATCTGTACAGGACCTTCCTGTCTTAAAGCCTTTTTGTACTTCGACCAGTGTTATTTTTGAACACTGGTGCTATTTTTGCAAACGTCATATTTTGATGTTGTATGTAGACTTTTGTCCTTCACTGTAAATTAGTGTCATTCTAAACATTGTCACAAATGTACTAATTTTCAACAATTAATAAGTAAGTCAATTTTAAGTAATTAATTATTGAGATATTTATGTTATAAACAATTTTTATATAAAATAAAACAAAAATAAATTAAAATTTTTAATTTATTGTAAAGTAAAAAGATAATTTTTGCGTACCCCTGGTGGGACTCGAACCCACAGTCCCCGGCTTAGGAGGCCGATGCCTTATCCATTAGGCCACAGGGGCTTGGTGAGGACTTTTCTACATTTTGGAATGTTCATAGTAGAATTTATGTTATTTATAGTTTATAAGTATTAATAATTTATAATTCACATAAACTTCAAAATAGATTAGTTAGTGGAAATTAATTTTCGACAATAAGTACACTTGAAGTTTGTTCAATAAGGCAAAACAGGATTAAAAATAATAATTACTGTTTATCTATATCTTTATAATAATTATAAATTATACCATAAAAGTATTTTCTTTGCTGCGCAATATTTACGAGAGATGAACTTGATTCACAGGATTTATAATAATATTTAATAATAATCTGTAATATTTTATCTCAATTTTGATTATATGCGTAAATGTTTATCCATAATGTTATCCAATAATTAGTTATCTTGTAGTCGTTGTTAATTAACTAAAATCTAAATAACCTAATGGAATGAAGAGATATGATTGTTTATGTAGGAAATATTACAAATAAAATACCTAAACCAATTCCATAAATAATAATTAATTATTAACAAAATTGTTGCAACACTATAATTCTTTTATGAAGAATGAACTTGTTTTTCATCACGTAACTAATATTATTGATGTTGATTTTAAAATTATACACCGAATCAAAATTAGTCATTCACGTGTTGATCAAGCAAAAATTCTGATTTATCACTTTTTAGAATTAACATTTATTTTAACATAAACAACTCAAACTTTTCCATTTTTTTATTTTCAAATTTTACATTCATCGTTATGGTTGACCACAAAAATTATCATAACACGTGTACAATTTTATCTCGATAGTCCAAAATACATCATTAAATTGAAACGGAATATGTTAAAGAATCGTTTTGGCAACCAAATTTGCACCTCGATAAATTCTTAATCAAAAATTTAAATTAAAAAAAATTATCTAGTTATCATTTGTCGTTAATATTGACGTTTAATCGTTCGGATATGAAATGTAAATCTCGTAATTGTAAAAAAAGCTTTTCCATAATCAAAAGCACCTCATTTTGACCGTTACCATCATCAAAATTATCTGATTACGATGGACAGAGTATACGTATATGGTATAGCGGCGACGATGGGCGGCCTCGGGTTTCTCTTGGCGTGGATGTACCTGGACCGTGGACAGAAAAGGGATTTGTATCATCGGCGTAAACTTCGATTAAAACGAGAATACGAACGTAAATTAAGTGAATTAGACAGGGTGCGAATAGCCAGTGGCGTCACCGAGTCTAGAAAGGAGGAGGATGTCATCATATTGCACGAGTTGCAAGTGGGCGAAGCACTCATGATGAAGGGTAATGTCGATGAGGCGACCCAACATTTCGCAAACGCCGTTTCGGTTTGTTCTCATCCGGAGAAATTTTTGAGGACGTTGAAAAATTGTTTGGATCCTACGGTTTATCATATGCTCTTAAATGTCTTGATCAAAGGTAATATTAATACATGCTCAAGGATTAATTTCTCCGATCCGCTAGAAAGTGCCCTTTACGATCGATTAAGGTAGCTTTTGTAAAATAGTTATTACTTTTTTACGAAATGGTGCCTTAAATATAAAAATTACTTTTCTGGTTTGTTAAATTACTACTTTTTGTTATTCTAATAAAAGGCTACCTGTTTAAAAACATGTTTTTTGAAGTTTATTTTCTAATTCTAAAGCTGCTTCATTTTTGTTAGGTGCAAGAAATATTAAGACATTATCTAGGTGCTCTGTAAATAAGCAGATATAAAGCATTTTCAAGACAATAGAGTGCGAACACCTATATCAGGACGAAACCAACGAGTCTTTTTCAACATTTTATTGATTTTGTATCAAAATTCTTAATAAAACATTATGACTTATAAATCATATCTATTAAACTTAATTGGAATAAATTTTTTTTTAATTAAATTAAAATTTGCAATCTTAGTTACAACGCTAACTATTGTTAGAAAGCTGAACATTCTTAAAAAAAATCTATCACATAATTTGTCGTTTTTTCCTTATTATATGTATATTCGTTTCTAATATCTAGATGGCGCATTATCTTATGTAAAATATAAATCTTATTACATCCACCTAACGAGAATCGTTGCAACAGCTTGATGAAACAAATTGCCAAATAAAATTGGTTTTCGTTTTATCGCGAGTTTAATGAAAAAGAAAAGTTCTGTTCAATCTGCCTGGTGTGTGTTCCAGACAGAAGGGCGCACCTATATTTCTTTGTGTAAATAAAATAAAGGCGCGACGTCCTGTTTGGAACGCACAATTTTTTCCTATTGGACAAACCCCCCTCTCCCGGCATTGCTTCACATGTTACGTAGAAATGTTCAGTAATTACAACAAACTTTACCGCAATTTTTTTCATCGAGCGGTCGCGAAGATATTGATCTTTAAAGTGAGGGGGCCTTGACTTTTGACACAGATAGTAGAATGTAATATATACGCAAAAATAAAGAATTAAAATGAACGTTTTGTTATCTTTGAAAAGTGTGTTAAAGGTAACAAAAAATTGAAAAAGCTTTTGGATGTGTTTAAATGGTACTAATCGATTGACTTGGAAGATGAAAGTATTAGAAAATGCTATTTTGATTTGTTTTGAAAGTGCTTCAAAGATACCAGGTTATAGAATAGCTCGGTGTGTGTTAAATATCATTAATGGTTTGGACACAACATTGTCTTATTTGGCAAAACTTACACAAGTTACTTTTGCTACGGGTAGTGAGGTAAGCAATAGTATATCGAGCCTATAGTTAATTACAACAACCAGAGAACACGTTATAAACCAGAGGTTATTGAAAATAATGACGTAAAAACGACAGCATGTTGTCTTTGTCCCATCAAAACCTCGACTAGATTAGTTTGAAGTTTAAGTCTTGGCAAAAGAACAAACTCTTCATATATTGATCTGATGCTTCTATAGATGTGTATCTAGCTATGCACTTTGCGTTTGATGAGGTTCCAAGACAAGAGGTCTGAAGAGCTCTAGAGAAGAAAGAGACTCTCCCATAGCTGATGCAGGCAATCAGGTTCATGCGCCAGCGAGTGAAGGAAGAGGTGAGTCTTAATGGGAAGACTTCTAGCATGTTTATCCTCATTACTATTTGTTGCTTTTATGGATGAAGTGGTATATATAAGAAAAGAACAGAAACTTCGGTGGTCAGCATGCTCAAGCGGTCAGAAACTCTAAACGAGGACAGAAGAACAGGTGGATAACATCCATATCGAATGTGGATATAGCAGTATCTAATAGAAGCATCTAAATCTAAGGAAGATTTATTGTATGTCCTGTAGTTCTGCATAGTTATGCTTCACACAATAATCTAATACTTATTGAGCCGTATTTTCGATACCTAGCACAATTCTTTATATTTCACCATAAGTACTTTTGCGAATATCGCTCTGAAACGATATAAAAAATTTCGCCATAGATTTGTAGATTAATTAATTTAATTACATCCTTTCCTAGTAGTCTACTAAAAATAAAGTATTGAAGGTAAATTTTCGTGTTCAACGAAGTTATATTGCATTAGATCAAATCTAAAAGATCTGCTCGGATTATAACGAAGAAGTTCACCTGGAGGCGTAGGGTATTTGTGATTTAAAATAGACGATCACGCACAAATGTGGTGAAAATAACTTTGTTCGGAGTATTAAATATAGGTTAGTGGGTTAAAGGTTAAATTGTATTACGGATATTTTTGAATCCGTTTTCTGCTTCCCAAGACGGGGAAAATGGGTTAACCGCTTAGGTTAAACGCAACGTCATCGTTGAAAACGGGGAGTGGAAAACCCCTTTGGGAAAACCGTACCAGTCTGTGGTAGGTATTGTGTCGGTTGTTAATTATTTTCCTCTATGTAGCCGCACACGCTTAGTTTGGAGCTGATTTTCTTTCGGTATGGTTTTTCACCACGGGGAGTTACGATGTCACCTGGTAATAGTGTTGTTTTATTATGGTTTTTGTTAGACAGTGTATGTAAGTACCTGTTACACATTTTCTGAAAATAATTTGAAAGGAAGCCAATTTTTTTAAATTTTTTATTAACCTTCGTGTTTACAGCAAAAACTTGTTTTATTGCAAGCTAATTAATTACATTGTCCATCCAAGTCAGTGATTGATATATTTTAAATAATTAATGAACAAGATCGGTTTAACTCGGAATTGAAATGCCGTTCTGGTATCGTTCCGAGCTCCTCTAAACACGCAATTCATTCTTTAAATATACGTATCACATTTACAAATATCCTCAAGAATATACAAAACTTTCGGTATCTTAAAGTGGGTCGATAATGTAAATTTAAAATTAGTATTGTAATTTAAGTATATTGCTGCAGATGAATACAAAACAGGATGATTATTAACTGAAACTGGACGTTTTAAAATTAATATTCATATAACACGTGTTATTGTTGTAGGAAAAAAGACAAAGTGAGGAGTGCAAGAAGGAATTATAAGAAAATTGGTGAAAGTGGCTTTCCACCAGGAGTAACCGTCGATGAACTTTACAGATACAGAAAGAAAAAGCAGAAAGGTAAGAAAAAAATTTCAAAATTAACTTGATTAGAAACGTAAATTTGTGAGTTTGTATGAAAAAGCTATTTTAATAGTTTTTTCTTCGAAATTTAATAGATGCAATTCAACTAGAGGATAACCTTTACTTCGGTGAAGGTTCCTATAAGTCAATCGTATCTGAATACACCAGAAGTTTTCACAATTTATTTTTACAAGAACTTAAATTACCAAAATTAACTACTTCTGTAAGTAAATCATGAGTAGTTTCATCATAAGATCATTATTTTCAATTATACAAATCCCATTATAAAATCAAACAAACTAGGTTACTCAATGATTATTCTTTGAAGGATTAATAAATTTTATTCTTTAGTATTTTTGTTTAAGGATGTAGCTTTTCGCAAAACATGGAGACCTGATTACGCAAGATATGAAAGTAATTATTTCTTAAAAAAAAGTTTATCAAAAGGACGAAAGTCCGTTTTTGATGAAACAATGGATTTGAATGAAGAATTCGATAAAAGGTAAATACAACAATGTAGAGGTTATTTTTGTATTAAAATAATCACTTTTTCGTTATTTAAATTGTTTCGCATAAAAATGGTAATTGTGTAATGAACTTGGTCTTGTCGCATAAACCTTGAAACACATTTTAACTATGTTACCTATAAAAATGCATAAAATTCTTCTTTTATGGTCGATATGAACACGAAACGCGTTAATTAAATAAAACCGTAAAAAATGATTAATACATTATAATGAGTCAAGGAGTCAGATATAGTATGATGATAAATAAAGTTTTTTTTCATGTTTTGTATGTATCGTATTTTTAAATCTTCAAAATTTACATATATAGAGGACAATTTACGTTTACATAAAACATAGTTGACGGCAAATCAACCAGTATATTTTCTTGCAATATCTGTGTTGGTGTATTATTAAAATTCATTAACTGCATAAAAAAGTATTTTCTACTAATTGATAGTTTAGAAGGCGAGGTGAGGAAAAATTATGTAAATATATGCTATATCCAGGTAATTAACACAACCATTGATAAGAATGGTTAATTGCTGCTTGCGAAATTCTCGTCTTTTGTAACCATATAACATAAGCGTTTATTGCAATAATTTCTATCATGTTATAAATAAATAACTGCCACTGGGTATCTCCTTAATTCTTCTTTTGACAGTATATGTTTCACTCTTATTGTACATAATTGAAGCGAACATAGTAGCGTACATTATCTTGGTAGCAAAATGTTGTTGAATCCTTCTCACATTCTTCTCCCACGTCATAACTAATCTTGAAGAAGCACCAATTTATTTTTTCAAAGTGTACCAAGCAGTGTAAGATTTCTCTTTTCATTTATTAGTAAAATCGAAGTTTCTAAAAAAATTATCAGTTGCCACATTTCTCTCTGACCTTTCAAACTCTTTTATCATATCCAAGAAAACACAATGGCCCTGATTGTCTTATTGTTCCTATATGTGCCAATATATGCATACGAAGTTAATTGTCACAAACTACCCAAATTTCTTACAAAACGTAGAGATTGAGTAGGGAACCTTATTTACTTCACTATTGAAAGTAATTCCTCAGCAGTGTAAAAGTGAGCATCTCTGGAGTTTGTTTAAATTATTGTTTGGACTTCTCTTGCTTGGAAGGCAGCAATTTTCTGAGTAATTATTGATAGTTTCTTTGATGACATGGATGAGGAGCAGAAACGTCTGAAGGGCAATATTGAGACAGCTTAATTAGTATAAGCGTTTTCAAAAAACTATCGAGTACAATTGGCCGTTTGTTATGGCGTTTGAGGATATTCATACAGTTTGAAGCCACCTTGGAAGCACTTCAAGTGTAGATGTAGAAAGCTAAAATACAATATACACAGAAATGTGACCATGTCAGTGAGAATGTATGAAAGCACGGATCCTGTCCAAGTGAACAGAGGGGTACGACAAGGTGAAACGTTATTGCCAAAACTGTTTACAGCAAGATTACATGCATATTTCAGTATTATATGAATAAATCTTGCATGGGCAGCCTATGAAAAATTGAAAAATTTCTTCAAAAGTAACTTACCAATCTGTCTAAACTGACCGCAATACTTCTAAAACTTTAAATTGCATGTAGGTAAAAAGCCAAGGTCAATGCTTGGTGTTTCGTTATGCGACCGTGTGACTAACGAGGATGTAAGAAGAAGACGGAAGTTCCTGATATGATTATCCGAATTGCAAAACTCAAACGTTTGACCATGAATGGATAAGAGAAGAGGGAGACACTGTTGTTCTCTTTAATATTGATTTCATAACAGCATCCACGATAATCAAGTTTCAATGATTCCGGTTCTTCTTAATCTTTGTATTGTTTGTTGGAAATAAGCAGGTTTATTGTAGATTGACAAAAAACGTCGCTGTGGTAATGTTAGAGTGTAAATTAACTCAAGTTACGAAAAAGTAAAGTTTTGGCTGCATCTAGCGCAGTGCAAGATATTAAGATCATGCCGGAAGCATTTTGGGTCGTTATTAAGGCTCGTTTTCGTTTGACCCAGTACTTTACAGTTTAGACATTACTCTGAAGCATTTAAAACAGCGTTCGACTTTGAGTTGGCTTATGATCCGAATATTTACAGCTGTTGATTGGTAGTAACTCCAGTTGCATTGAAATTATGGGCATAGCATGATGTTCCAGAAGCTTTGTTATCTATCTGAGAGGTTTTATGAAAACATACTCTTTAACAAATAATGATCCATCCATCAGCAACTACTCATTTAAAAACAAAACCTTACTCTAGTCCTTATCACTCCATGCCAAATGATTGTGAGCAAACAGTACTATTAAAATGTGGTGTCACCTATGCAGCAGTTGCTATCCTTCTACATGATAATGTATCAGCACGAAGCCATCTTCTACTTACTGGGTTATTCATTAACCTCTTGAAGCTAATTTCGTAAAAAACACTTTGCGAACCTTTTCATCCAAACTCCAGCAATTTTTTGCTCACCAATATATTACGAAATGAGATTATTTTTAAACAAAGATTAGAAGTTTTAAGAAAGAAAAGTACAACGTGTTTATAAATATTTGTGGTTATATCATAGATCTTATTTTATTGCTTCCTAGGATTATTTCTATACTAATTGTACCTTTCAAGTGTAATCAATGTAATCATACTCAATTAAATCGCAATTATCTCGATTTCAAATAATCCGCCAGAGCGAACGCACTTTTTGCCGCACCCTCTATAACGTTTTAAGTTGTAAGTTTTTTCGTAGTCATTTTAGTACTATAATTTTTACTTTCAATGTTAACGAAAAATTATAACTTAAAATATCCAATCATAAAATAACCACTTCTTGTTTATAAATTTTATAAAATCCACAAACAACCAAACTTTATATCTTCAAAGTGGACTCGACGTCAACTTAATTTATCTCTGAAACTTCACGTGCCTTAAAATATTCCACACGCTTGGTCTATATAAAGTGATGAAGTAAGTAGTCTAAGTTTCGATTTTCTAGAGTAGATAAGCGTTCTCTCTAGTCCATTAGTTAAAGTGTTTTGCGGTGATTACTCACGGCCATACTACATCATCACTTCACTTTGCCATCGATTTTCCATTTGTTGCCAATATTTCGTCCTCAATTTTCATGGGAGGGTCCTTCTCAAAAGCACCCTGAAGTATACAGATCGAAGACCACACCGCGTGGTGACCTCGGTCGACCCTGTTTCAGTCACGAACTTTTAGTCTTTCACTATCTACACAGTCGTTAGTTTGTTAGCCTCGGTGTTCCTTTCGCATTTGCATTTTTACTGCGGCAACTTTTGTGTTTCACTGTCGATTTCAAATAGAGTAAGTTGTTTACTTTTTAAAGCGCCTTGGAAACATTAATATTTAAAGCTTTTAAATTACTTTTTAGTTTGCGATATTCAACAGAAATTCGTTCAAAATATATAAATCACGACGGATTCATAAAACAAAATCTTATAAAACCATTAGAAAATTTAAAAATAGAAGGTGATCTTTTGACTTCTACCGAAAAAGCTGAAAAATTCATCGAGTACTTACTTTTTAAACGACAACATCTTTTGAAGAAACCGACTACGTTGAAATTAGAGGGTGAGATGGAAAAGAATACCGAGAATAGGGAAAAATTTGTTATGCATGATTACCAAGAACGACCTCCGTTGTGCAAGAAGTCGACTAATCTGCATTTGGAGGGTGATAGAATAATCAGCACGGAGAATCATGACAAGTTTTTACCGTTCAAGGTGGAAAAGCGACAACCCCTATTGAAAATGTCGACGAATTTGCATTTGGAAGGCGACCTAGATTTACACCCTGAGTATAGGGACGTATTTGTGGAACATAAGGTACAAAAACAAACCCCTTTACTACCGGCGCATAATATTAAAATTGATGGAACATATGATATTAATGCAGAAACGAAATCTAAAGAGTCACATCATCCTTTAATTCCTTTTTTAAGAGGTGGTGATCGAAAATTTATCTTAGGTAAAGTAATTATATAGGAAATATTTTTTAAAATGCAATTTCAATCTATTTTTTTAGGCGATGATAAAGACATAAAATATCCAGAGTACAAAGAAAAATTTGTATTACATCCAAAATCAGAAAGACCACCAGCTTATCATCCCAGTAGTCATTTAAAACAACGTGGAGCCATGGAAGGGATGACAGAAACAAGAGAAGAATTTGTAGAAAAACGATCCCCGAGAACAGAGCGTCGTAGAAGATCGACACACTTAAAGTTGGAGGGGAAAAGGGCTATGACTCCAGAATATAAGAATGCCTACATCGATTTTTACGAAACCGGAAGGCGTTCGCCGGTGAAACGAATACATGGAAGAACAGGAAACTTGAAAACCGATGGTGAAATGGATATTAATCCGGAATATTCCAGTTCATTCGTAAACTTTCCAAGGGAAAGACCGAACGTGAAGCGTCCTGAATGCCACTTGAAAAATTCTGGGGAAGTACGTTAAGAATTTTTAGTGAAAAAAGTATTTGTGTGTGTGTAGAATTTTTTGGTAGGTTATTATTACAAAAAAAAATTTGTGTAATTCTAAATTATTTTAAATCATTTAAACGCATTATCTAGTTATAAAAGTAATTATTGCTTTAGATGCATCATTTAACAGAAAAAGAAGCCGTTTATGTACAACATAAGGATTTCCATAAATCCGAGCTTATCAAACATGAACCAGAATTGAAGCTTGAAGGAAGATTTGAGTGTCAACCTGAATATCGCAAAGCTTATAGAGATTATTTGATAAGAGAAAGAGTCCAACGCAAACCTAGACCGATAGACAATTTAATAATTTCAAAGAAAAAAGAAGATGAAAAGAAACCAATTGAAGACACTCTGTAAGTAAGTAACTTTTGGGTAACATCACAATAACATAAAAACGAAATATTAAAAACTTTTTTTTATTATTATTTAGGAATAAACCTCATAAATCAAAACGTGATTCAAAATCATCAGATTCAAAGTCATACATTCCTGTATCAGTTAAAAAACCAGCAGCAACTTCATCATCGTCAGATGATCGCAAACGTTCTTCAGCGAGTACAATGAGTAGTATCACCTCAAAATTGAATTTGAAATCCAGTAAATTACCTCTTCCAAAACCAAAATTGGTGGTACCAAAAAGTAGCACAAATTCTTCTTCCTCGCGGTTGTCAAGATCTCTTAGTCCAACAACTCGAAAACCCACCAATTTAAGAAGAAAAAGTAGTACAAAATTGGTTAAATCTAAATCATCCCAAAGAATGGTTTCTCCGGAAGTTGTCCATCGAAGCAGAGTTGGTTCAAGATTTTCAAGTCCAGTGAGAGTTGAAGATTTAGCTTATCAACCAATCACTTCACCTTTACCGTGGATTATAAGAGATGTTAGTCCTGATAAACGATTATGGCACGATAGGAAATCTAAAAATAAGGCTTTCGTTGTTTTGGATAGACAGGTACATAATAATAGTTGTTGTTGTACTGGAGGTGAGGGTCTTTATAAGGAACAAAGATGGATGCCCTCTTGGTATACACCAACATAAAATCTTTTTTGGTTTTGTACATGCAGAAAAAAAAACGTATGCTTATAATATGTGTTATTGTCTCAGGGTAATATTAAATTATTAAAACTTTTGATACTTACCCTATATGTTGTTCAATGTTTAGAACTAGAGGTTATTCAAAAAGATTTTTCTGCAATTAAAAACATAAATCTCATTTTTAAAATGATTTTATTAGAAAATTCATTTTGAATAACGTTCCTTGAGTAGTTAGGTCGAGTTTTATAGACATAGAGACGTACTAATGTAAAATAAAACTGCCAATTGTAATTTGTTATAATTGTAATAAAAAATTTTGTATAGAATCTCTTATTGTAACTTCCATAAATAAAATACGAATTTGTGTATGTAAAGCAATGTAGTAATATAAAAATAACCAACAAAATTGATTTTTGTATTTATTTTATTTTACTGTTCCACATTTTTTGTTTTAAACAACGACACATCACTTGGTTTGACGGTTTAGACCACAAATGGTCTCAAAATTTAGTGAACAACAGTACTTACATTAAAAAATTTATTACAAAAAATTCCTTAAGTAAATACTTATACGCGGATTGTTACAAAATCGCCCAACATCTCAATTTTTCATGTAACACATTCTTTTTTATATTTTAGTCACATTCTAATTTTGCAACAATCAATATCATTATGATAATACGTAAACGTCACGTAAAGTACAAAAGTTTTTTCTTACGATATCTATCGATATCGCAAGAAAAAATTGTTGTATTTGTAAAACTCTCAACGAGTTAAAAATAAGCGTAATTATTTATTCTTAAAGCCTAGGCTAAGAGAGAGAAGAGATACGATACTTTAAAAATTAAAAATACGATTTCACGGAAACATCTATAGATCTAAATATGGAATAACAATATTTTGTTATACAACAAGTAAGTACAAGACAACCTCAAGAGTTGTAAAACGTGGTGCTGACATACAGATTTATTTGCTCTTTTTTATTATAATTTAAATACAGTGCATTAATACCCTGCATTGACACAGATTTTTGTTGTATTGGTCATAGAGCGGATTTCATTAAAAGTCTACTTTCACATATGTATACAGTAAATACTGGTTTTGATATTTTAAGAATACAGTTATAGTTTTATTTTATACAGCTATGAGTAAGTTACAGATTTTTAAAGTAAAAATTTAATGAGATAACAAATTAATTAGTACGTTGAAAATGATTGTGCTATACAATAATTTGTGGAATAATTCTGTTCTTGTTTTGACTCAAAAACTTTATTGTCACACCTACAAATTATATCGTATTCTGTGTTTTAGAAAATGTAGTGAAACTATTGTGATCAAATTTAATATAAACTTTTATTTCAATGAAAGCAAATAGTCTTCTTAATAATATTCCCAAATTTGTAAATATTAATCACGATTTTAAGAAAGAAACTAAAAGTGATGATGAATCATGATTTTGTTTGATCTTGTAGGTAGAATATTTTTCTCATGATTTATTTTCCATATTTTACCAGTAACTTTATTTTTAAAAAAATGATAGTTGAGTATGGCCTAAAATAATTTATTTTTTTCTGATAATAAATGTATAAGTATAAGTTCTGATAATAATCGATGCATATAATTTATTTTGCCTGTTCTATGCACTTTCAGCAAAACATTAAAGAATCTGTTTTAACATAGTAAGATTTAATAAATGAGCAATGACTTCCAGAAAAGAGAAGTTGAGTTAGCTTAGTTCTGTTTACAAATGTCAATCAACTCTGACAAAAGTATTTGATAATGTTAGGATAGGTTAGTTTTGTTTTGAAGCTCCAATTATAGCGTGAAGGAATGTCGTTTTTCTTTTGGAGCCCAATTATAGCGTGAAGAAGTGTCGGTTTTCTTTTGTACCCCAATTATAGCGTGAAGAAATGTTAGGATAGGTCAGTTTTGTTTTGAAACTCCAATTATAGCGTGAAGGAATGTCGGTTTTCTTTTGAACCCCAATTATAGCGTGAAGGAATGTCGGTTTTCTTTTGAACCCCAATTATAGCGTGAAGAAGTGTCGGTTTTCTTTTGTACCCCAATTATAGCGTGAGAAATGTTAGGATAGGTCAGTTTTGTTTTGAAATTCCAATTATAGCGTGAAGGAATGTCGGTTTTCTTTTGAACCCCAATTATAACGTGAAGGAATGTCGGTTTTCTTTTGAACCCCTATAATAGCGTGAAGGACTGTCGGTTTTCTTTTATACCCCAATTATAGCGTGAAGAAACCGCAATTATAGCGTGAAGAAATGTTAGGATAGGTCAGTTTTGTTTTGAAACTCCACTTATAACGTGAAGGAATGTCGGTTTTCTTTTGAACCCAATTATAGCGTGAAGGAATGTCGGTTTTCTTTTGAACCCTAATTGTAGGATGAAGAAACCGCAATTATAACGTGAAGAAATATTAGGATAGGTCAGCTTTGTTTCCGCCTGTCAATCATCCCGGAAAAAAATATTGGAAAACTTATTTTTGACAAGGAAAACTGCAGAACAACTTAATGTAACCCAAAGAGGCAACGAGCAATGCTATCAATGAAATCACTCTGAGAGATAAGATTCGAAATTCGCAGAAGCACACAAGTGACAGATGAAATGAGACTGAAGTGGCAATGGATCGAGCATGTGGCAAAAAAAAACACAAAGAATTGACACAAAGAATAACCTTTTGGAGACCACAAGAAATTAGAAGAGGTACAGGAAGACCGAAAGAGGTGGATCGATGATGTGAAGGGTGTGGCGGGGAAAGAATGAATATGCACAATAAAGACAGAAATAAATGAAGATATTTTAAAGAGACCTATGACCAGCAGTGTCTAAAGAAGAAATGGGGTTAAGTATGGGCTCACATAGCAATATCTTGTTATCCAATGATTATTAATGGTAATCCAAGATGTTTGGCATCAAATGTTTTAGAAATTGTTGTACAAGAAAAAAGAATAAACAAACAAAAAAAATACAAGAATTAATATGAACTTATCGGTAAAGATGAGATGACGCAAAATCATTTACACCAGACGCAGATTTATTAATATCTTTAAAGCCAATGGAAATAGCAGAATTATTCTGGCTCGATGAGAGCAGATTTGGAGATTCGTTGGAATCTGGTTGTACCATCAAATAGAATGGAAATTTCATCGTGTTATGTTGTACATATATGTCCGAGGCAGAAATTGATTTTTTCCAAACTAGAATTCTAGTATTTAATTTGCTCTCGTCGTTAAACATCGCATTATTCTAAAAAATATATAAACTTATTACTTTTATACATATACAGTTAGTTAAAAATGTAACATTTAAGTTATAATTTCTTGCTTGAAAACCATCCGACAAAAAAAATTAATTAACACGTGAAATTTGATACAAATTAAAAAATAATTATCATTGAAAATTTAATAACAAATTTAGTCTCGTCATCTACTTGTTTATAGTTAAATTTACATAATTGAGCAGGATGTGTAAAAACCACCCCATTCAAAAAACCGATATGTTCATAATCTGTTCTTTTTGATTCAATATGATATTTTGTTGGTAATAATGAACACATTTAGACATTCAGTCTTTTTGATTCAGTTTTTTTAATCAATTTGTTAAACAAAATAATAAAATAATTTCCGACTATTTGCTTTCGTAAGTAGTAAATAAAATAAAATACAATTTAATGTATGTAATAAGTGTTAGCTTAATTTATTAATTAATTTATTTTGACTTTAATGACAATTTTGGCCTCCACAATCTATTTCATTCTTAATTCGTCTAATTCAAACGATGTAGGGACGGTATTAAACATGATCAATCTTTTTTTTTATAAAAAAAATCAAATCAAATTTGATTATTAAATTCCACCATTAAATTTTATTAAAACATTTTATGTATTTTAATTTCTTTAATCCTCTTGAATTATTTTATTTTAATTTATCGTGTTAAAGATTAGTTTCTCGACATCCTTATTTAAATATTTATTTATTTTCAATTTAAAGTTCATGTACAAGGTCCGAATCAGTCAAGATACCCTGTTGTTAATATACAATTTTAATAATTAGACACTTTAAGTATTAATACTTTAGTTTTATCTTATGAACAATAACCAGCTGGTTCATTATTTTGTTTTATAATTTTAAAAGAAATGTTTAATTTTATTAAAAAAAATATATTATACAAATTGATTTAGTTAAAGTATTTTTATTTATCTCTAGGTCTTTCGGATTTATTCTGAATCACCTTATTACATAGCATTTTAAAAGTAGTGTAATAAACAAAAATTAGCTACATTTATGAAAAGAATTATTTGCGAAATAAATTGATGTGGGATATGGGATTTGAAATAACAAAAAATAATTGCAAATATTTATATGTCAACTTCAATACACTACCTTTGAAACACGTTTTTTGAAAAAAATTTATGTTATTTATTAAATTTAATTTTGTAGATGATTTAGCGCTCTTCTCTAAAAAAATTATATTTCCTTTTTGCCGAATAAAATTAAGCCTCATGAATAAATATCGTAATAAATTAAAATTTACAAATATAAACACATTTTCATTTATCTGTAAATTTTACAACATACTTTTTTAACGTACAATTTTTCTATACCTATCTCTGGGTATGGCAAGCGTATTTTATTATCACCTTATATGAAATCTCATAATATAAAAATTCACCGACCCTTGATCGAGATTTTTTACAAAGAACGAGATCGACTTACGAAACAGTACACTCGTCGCCGGTGCTTTGAGCATCCCTTATTTGCTGTTTGGTCTTTCTACTGGCGCGCCTTATCAGCGACCTCGAACGAGGTTTCGCCTTCGGGGCTTCCGAACTGCCAGAGCTCTCGCCTACCTTTTTATCCTTTTCGATTGCGGGACTTCCCGGTCTTCTGGCCCCTTTGCTAGCCGAAACGTAGGCGCTCGATCTTCGTTTCAAACCTGATTCGTCGGTATCTTTCAGCATAATTCTGGACAGGTTCAGGAAATTGCGAAATATCTCTTTGATGTTGATATCATCTTTTGCTGAACATTCGATTACTTTCACCCTATGAATAAACCACAAAAAAAAATTCAAATTAGAACAAACTTTGATTTATAGATCTTTTTTACTTTTGACACTCAAAATATAACTACTTACACCTTAATTAAACTCATAAATTCAGGGCTGACATAAAATAAATGTTCTACTATTACAAGCAATCTCTTCGGATTATAAGTTAAATCGTTGTAAGTAAAATCCAACCCCAAAGTTTATAGCAAACGATTACACCTGAGGGAAATAAAGACGAGTGGTGTTGCAAAGTGATGCTTTTTAGTTGTTGCGTGATCTGCACATTTGTTTAAATTAAATAACACTTTCTAGCTTGAACGTGAGAAGACTTTAAGTACTGTTTGAAAAGGAAATAATTTCCTATTCTACACATAAAATGTTTATTTTAGATTAAAATTAAAAAAAAAATGTTTTACCTAAGTTTTGGAAGTTCACAATAAACCCATTCAGAAACGTCTTCTATCCTAACTTCTCGATGCGTAGAAGTAAGATCCAACTTATTTCCAGCAATAACAATTGGAATTTCTTGATAATCGGCCCTTTGCTCTCGTATCTCAGCAAAGCACTGTTTAACACTTTCAAAAGAAGGCGACGACGTAACCGCATAAACCAATAAAAACGCATGTGCGGTCGCTATACATAATCTTCTCATTGCAGGAAATTGCATATCACCGGCCGTGTCCAATATATCCACTTTGAGCGTCATATGACCCAGATCATACTCTCTGTTATAAAGGTCCTCAACGGTACTCTTGTAACGATCGCTATAGGTATTCATCAAAAACCTCTTCACTATACAACTCTTTCCAACTCCAGCACCTCCTAAAGTCGCTATTCGGATTCTTTCATAATCCGACATTGTCGTGTTATTGTTGTTCATTAGTTGTGGGAGGAGAAATAATTTAAATCAAACTTTGATATAATTATGCAGTCCTGGTGATGTCTTGATGTATAGATGGGTTATGAATCGGTTTTGTAAACATCCAATAAAGAAGTTAATAACAAATCATCCACGGAGTCTTTCAAAATGGTAGAGATAGGCGAATATTTGATGTGGTCATCCTTTCATTATAACAGTTTTATATTTGAAAATCAGAATCTGAAAAAAAGAATGTTATAATTATAGTATTATATTTGCAATAATGTCAATGTATGCAGCAACTAAAGACAACATAATGTATCTGTATCCAATATAAATTTAATTGCTCTGAAAATATTTTCTACTGTACCCATTATATTCTCATTTTTTGATACAGGGAATTCATAAATTTCAATGCAATTCAAAATAGAACATTGTTTCAAACGATGTGTTCTTTCAGAGATGGAATTCTCCAATTAGTAAATGTTAATATTCATGACGGTCTGCTTTACTGCTTTGCCAACAAAATCCATTAAGTTCAGCGTCAATTTCTCGTTATAAAACTTCACTACATGGTCCAAATAATGTCGTTTTTCATTATTTTTCAATTAAATATTAATTATACCTCCGTAAAGCACTCACGGATATGAGGACACAAATTGTTCTCTTTTTTATTTCTCTGTGTATTATTATTTTACCCTTTTATCAACTAAAACTGTTATAATTACTACATAATTTTATTATCAGATTAAAATATGCCTTTGTTATTTCCAGGATATCTTTTACAAAGTAAATATCATTACGGTTAAAACGTAGTTCAATTTGATACATTTTCGCAACAAAAAAGTGCAGGACGTGTTACGGAATCTAGTTTTACGGACATGGTTAGCAAGAAACCATAAAAGACGTCTGCGCTTTACGGCACAAAGCCCATGTAATTTTCTCTTATAATGTAAAGGCATTTTCCCATCTTATGCTACTCGGAAAATATGTCTTGTGAAATGTATTATTTAGTACGATGTTTTAAACTTTTCAAAATAAAAGGAAATTTTTCTATTAAGTGCTACAAAAAACGTTTTAGTCTACTAGGTGTATAAAATAAATTTTCCACATAAATTCTAAATAGAAGCAAAGTCAACTCAGGATTAAACTGAAAATGAGTTCATTAATTTAACTGACACATACATATGTTTACAAACTAATCGATTTTGATAAAACTTTCCTATTATACAACTAACCATATAATCAGTTTAGTTTATTGAATAAGTTGATATTAGTATTAATGAATTATTCTACTTAAACTGTTTATTCAATTTCGCTAATTATATTGTATAACAACTAACTTATTTAATCTTGAAGTATGATTTATAAAAAAATATCCAACGGCGTAAAATCTAAAATCTATTTCGGTTGTTTCCTGTAGGACGACAAGTTTTCCGTTGGATAATAGGTTTCTCGAAAGTTTCTTTTGGCGGAACCGAGTGCGGTGATGCTTTAAAGTAAACGAGGGTAGTTGCAAGCTAACACGATCAACTTTGAGTAAACATCTTTAGAAAAGGCCCTTAACTTTAATTGGTTCATTGGTCGAATAAAAGTGCCATAAAATATAATCGTTTGTGAAAGATTTTTTGTTGAAATTTAGATTTACTTTTTGAGGTTAAATTAATTTGTTCTAAAAGCTTTTACATACTAATCCTTAAGGTAATAAAAATACTCCATTAGAAAAGCCGATTTGTGTAAGAAATAAGTAATAATGCTGCTATCGAAAAAGGATTTTGTGATACTGACAGGTTCTATAAGTCATTCCCCCCTTCAAACCTTAATCTCATTCTGGCAGTATTTCGCACGGCTGGGTTTCCTTATTTAACTCTACCTCCTACGGCCAAACATTGCTTCGAATGCGAACCTGCTGCGACGTCATTACCGACATTTATGAGAACTACCAAGAAAAGATATACAATATTGAATGTCGACTTATACTTTTCGTTTAATAAGAATAAAGGAAAATCAAAATAATTATGATGTTCAAGTCTAAATAGAAATCGACATAAACAATCAATCCTAAATAAATAACAGTGTAGTTTCTCTTAGTAAATAAATGTATAGATTGTGTATTTGAAATGCTCTTGGGATATAATACAAATATCTAGATATACTACTGTTGTTATTGTGACAAAGAACGATGAAATGGATGTTGATGAATGTTTTCAACCCAAACTGTCATTTGTTTATTGGATTTTCGGTTTTTCATGGCTCGTAAACTGTGAAATGTATACTAGAATAGAGGTGATTAGATATGGTTATAGTGTTTTATGCAATATATTGGTTTTATATTCTCCGGTCTTTATATCCTGAATTTATATTTTATAGTTTATTGGAAATTACTTACGGAATGAACAAATTTCCATTTGGATGAACTTTATTATTAATTTTTTTACGCTACAAATAATAAACCTTAAATTTAAAATTTTATCTCTCTCTTCATTAATCCTACAACCATGAACGACGAAAAAAAATCAATAAGAAATTTTTAATTTCACTTTAACTTTGGCAATTTAAAACTAATAAAATTGAAAATTCTTCTTTAGAACTTAAGTTAATTTTAATCATGTCTTAATCATTTTGTTATGTTGTGAAAATACCAATAGTACGAAAACTATTCAATACTCTTGAAATTTAAATTAACGGTCTTGGTTACCTTAGGCACATTCAGGTCCAAACAAGTATTAGCTGTGTGGTGAACGTTGTTAGCATTATTAAGTTAAATTTCTCGCATAAAACTTACCCTGATACGATAAAATTAGTAAAGGTAAATTGAATTGAAGGAGAGCGTGTTTAGATATCATGTTATGGATCTTTGGGTGTATTAATAGAGTCCACAGAACAAGAATACAAAGAGATCAAAATGTTTGTTTACGGTTTGACTATGGGATTCGAAAATATAGTAGAAAGAGACTGTTAAATTTATAAATCAAAAATAATACGAAATTTTCAAAAAATCATATTTACTGAGTTTTTAAGAATCAGGATATGATATGTATGATAAATTGTAGCTTAAAGATTCCAGTTTATGATTTGATATAAAAACTATCAGATAATATTATTGAAATTTTCAGAAATAAATTATTAATAACGAAATTGTCAAATTTTTAAATCAAGATTAATACGAAATTAAAAAAAATCATATTTCCTGTATTATTCAGAATCATGATATGATATGTATGTTAAATTGTAGCTTAAAGATTCTAGTTTATGATATGATATAAGAATTATCAGATAATATTATTGAAATTTCCAGGAAAAAATTATTAAACACGAAATTGTCAAATTTATAAGTTAAGTAAAACTACTAAATTTTCAAAAAATCATATTGACTGTGTTTTTAAATATCATGATATGATATGTATGTTAAATTGTAGCTTAAAGATTCTAGATTATAATACGATATAAAAAGTATATAGTAATATTATTGAAATTTCCAGGAAAATTAATAACGAAATTGTCAAATTTTTAAATCAAGAATAATACGAAACTTTTAATAATCATATCTCCTATATTTTTCACAATCATGATATGATATGTATGTTAGATTGTAGCTTAAAGATTCTAGTTTATGATATGATATAAAAACTATTAGATAATATCATTAAAATTTCCTGAAAAAAATTATTAATAACAAAATTGTAAAATTTATAAATCAAGAATAACACGAAATTTTGAAAAAATCGTATCGACTGTGTTTTTAAGAATCATAGTATAATATAAATGTTAAATTCTAGCTAAAAACTTGTAGTTTATGATATGATGTAAAAACTATCAGCTCTATCTGAGCTCCTCTAACGTTGTTGGCTTGTTGGCATAAACAGACAACTTAACGTAACTGGACCATTACTCGAGATTACACGGTTACCGAACTTCCTCTTTAATAGATCAATTGTTTAACCAGCTGTACAACAAGTGGCAGCATCTTGTTGGAACTACATATCACTGATGTCAAGTAGATAATGAAGGTTTAATTAGTCCTGATATTCTTAAGTCATTTGTAATAGACACATAACGTAGTAGAAGCGCTTGTTTGTTCGTCTTCATATCAAAATTAATATTATTATTCTTACTATTAACTTGTTAATTTATAAACAAGGGGAGATTATCAAGTTTGTGGATCGATCGTAATGTATAATACAAAAACCAACTGCACAATGAGAACGTGTTCATGGTATGAACAGACACATTTGGCACAGACTACTAAATCAATAATAAATGTAACATCATGAGGAGGAACTCGAAGGCTTATTCGCTGTTTAATACAGCAACGTCCGTTCGTTATTCGAAATGCACGTGCATATTTACGCACAAACGAAATCGATTTTTTAAGGTTATTTTGCTCCCTCAAACCAACGTATATCCGATATTCTGTTTGACGATTAGCAAGCTCTTCATATCTACGAGCTTCCGATTGGACTTCGAAAATCTAATTTTAGCTGGCAATTTAAGCTCTTGCAAACTTTTCAGATAACTGTTGCCGCTGTTGCTACTGATGACGATGCAATTTAGCCCTAAGCGTTTTAAAGGGAATTTTTTTTTGCGGTTGGAGTTATGAAATCAATTTTTCCATTTGATGGTAAATTTATAGTTTGCTAAACTAGAATAATAAATAAAGATGTACTTATATTTACATTTTCTTTTAGTGGTTGTGGACTTTAGGGGAGGTTTGAAGGTTCTTCGTATTTAAATTATACGTGGTTTCCTTAGTACTTTGAATTCCAGGATAATTCCAAAATAAAACGAATTTATGCATTAATAAACGTTTAAATTGGAATTCCCCCAGGGCTAGAATACTTGCCTGAAATCTTAGATGGTTTGCTGGACTCTAAGTAGTCGTTTTAACAAAAACTTGATATCGGATCGTACTAACATGCAAAGTTGAAATTAGTTTGGGAATAATATTACAATTAGAATCGATCGTTTTAACCACAAAACACTATCTGACATTAACATGTTAAATTTACATTTTGGACCGTATTAAATTTATACCTTGCTGTGGTTTATTAACCCTTCATTAGTGTTTATATAAACATGTTTCGTAACATTCTGTGGCGAATACTCTATTTGTACTGTACAATTCATTGAATAGTATTTTTTTAAATGGGTTTCCAAATTAGTAATTCAATTTCCATGACATAATTTTATTTTTAAATTTCTAACACGAAACATTGCATGTCTAGGTATAGCACTACTATACATATATCCATTTGGTTTGGTTTAAAGGGTTTTCAAGGTAACGCCGAGATAGCTAAATCCCGTACATGTCTAGCTCTAGGGCACGTTTCTAATTTACGGAAATGTACAATAATCTTCCACTTTGCCGTTATTTGTTTTTAGTTGGTCAATTCACGTGAATATTTTAGTTGTAAGCAAATTATTATTGAATCATCTTTTCGATTTACTTTTAATAAATAATATTATACATTCAAACCAAACAAATCTTTAATTTACCTGAAAAGCACCAAAAAAATTACCCTAACAGGTTTGTATAAAACATTTTTAACGATTTAGGTTTTTGATAAAGTTTTCGTTTAAAAGTGCGAAAGAAGTAAACAAGTCAACGAACTCATTACGCGTCGGTCGTTCTCTGACCGAAGGATCGTGAAACGAAAATCAATCTTGGGGGTTCACTTACCAGCGGATGTGGGGTGCCGGAAAACGCCGAAGAAGGGGATTATTGCAGACGGAACGATAGCGCGCGGTTCACTGAGTGTGGATTCGACGACGTTTCGCCGTCGCAACGTCGTTACGAAGTGGCGCTGGGAAACGCAGAAAGCTCGGTGCAAACCCACGATTTGTACGTGATGCCCCGGAATTTTCCGATAGTGAACGATTTTCTAAATTTTATGCAGTCGCCTTGATCCGGTGGAAAATATTGTTAGCGTTGAGAGTAAATCTGAAAAGGAGATTGTTATTATTTTGTTTTATAAAGACAAAAATGTAACCAGTAACTTTTTATATAATACAATACATTAAAAATGTTTTAGCTTTATTGTGTGTATAATTTTCTTGTCCTGGGAAATTTTTGAACTGATTTTTAAATCGACGATTGATATTAAAGAATTAATATTAATTCATACGAAAATAAAATTGGTTTTGGAAATGTTAAATCCCAAATTAGAATCGTTTGTTCTTTACTTTTTAGTTAGCTTAGTTTTGCGAGGGTTAGTTTTGCATCGGTCGCCCGCTTTCAATTCATTAAAAATTAAATAAAGTTAACTAGTAGAACTTCCTAGTAGACCATAATAAGCGTACAGCTTGAATTTCGACCTCCATAAAGTAAATAGTAAATATTTAACAAATTACGTTCTTAACTAAAGTCATCTTTAACCCCAAACTAAGCATCACATCAGTTTATGCCAAAATCTCTTCGGTGGATTTTTTGACCGGAAAAAAGATCAAATCTGTACATAATGGAAGAATTAAGAAATAGGATGGTAGGAAAAAGTTGACAAACAAGATTGTTGTTTCAGAATGTGATAGAAACTAGAGGGAATATGATGACACAGTTTTTGTGTCAGAAGAATATAGAGAATGAGTGCCAGTAAAGTAGTAAGAATTAGACACACGTAATGTGGCAGTAACTAATAGAGAAGAGAGATATGGGAAGCGGTAAAAATACATATATTTCCCTCTACCAAGCACGTTTCTCATTTGCTTCCATAATTGCAGCACAATTCTTATCCTACTTAGTCCTAACCTCATCTTCATTCAACTTTCCTTCATACCTATCCAAAAACTCCAAACCACAACATCTAAAGTACATCTACCAGTGAACTGCTAGACTAAACAAGGTTTACTGAACATCAGGTAAAACCTTAATCGACAATTTTATGATTTTTTTATCCTTGGATGAAATTTCAGTTTTAGGAGCCGATACGGAAGATGTATTTATAGAGGAACAAAGCGAAGAATCTAGGAAGGATTAATATTCTTTTTAATTACAAATTAAAATTAAAAATTTCCATATATTCCATCAATTGTGGCAACAAGCAGCGGAGGACAGCGTAAGAAAGTACTTCAAACATACAGCCAGCAATAACGCCTAGATGATGTAACTCCAAACCGCAGATTTCATCTTCTCCTCTGTAGCCCAATGATATGTAAACTTATATATAAACAATGGTTTGGTTTAGTTGCGAGTATCTTGTATTTGATATTGATGTTGGTTTTGATACACTCGTGGTTGATAGTGTTGGATGGGGATTCGTTCAGATAAATCTGTAAGTTTTGGGTTGAATTGTGAATTATTTGAGCTTGGTTTGGATGTGGAATGTTTAGGTTGGATTAAATATAACGAAGCTTTATCCAACCAGTGGAAAACTTCAGGGAGCTTACAATAAACTTAGAAGAACGAGAAATGCAATTTTTTTGCACTTTCCATAGAAGAAGCACAAAGAGTTGAGATTTCTACACTCTATAACAAACAGAAAATCAAAGAAGATTTGCTGAAGATAAAAAGTTGCGTTTGCTAGTGAGTCGGATTTGATTTCGGTATGAGACAGTTGGGTTGGCTTTGATTATGATTAGTTAGGTTGGTTTGAATGTGGAGATATGAGGTAGATATGGTTGAGGTTGGTGTGATTTGAAATCGATGTGGTTAGATTATGTTTTGTTAGTAAATAGCGGAAGGTTTTAAGGAACTAAAAGTAAACTTGAAAGAACGATCATTAAAATTCCACACATTCCAGATAATAAGTGAAAAAGAGTTCGTTTAAAAAAATTGATGCGTATTAGCGAACACCCAAGACATAATTCCAAAAGAGCACTTCAAAATACTTCGTCAAAATACAAGAAGTAATGGTTATGGAAGGGAAGCGGCAGAGAGAACGACAATAGGTTCTAGACAAAAAAGAAGATACTGTTGCAACCGATGGACAATAAGTACCCTCATGGGTAACAGCAGAAATACGAAAACAGAACAAGGCTATTTCTATGTATGGCATGACTTTACAGCAGTTATCTCAGTTTCTTTGAATATGCAAGAAAACTCCAATATTGTGCTACCATTACTGAAGCATTTTATGTAACTTCGAATAAGATGTGAGTTTCCAAACAAACGTGTTGATATCACAACTTCGCCTGTTGAGTACTTTTTACTTGATTTGTTTTTTGAGGATGAGGATAGTTTTATACGTTTTTGTTTAACAAACACCAAAAAGAAAATTAACTCACAAAATACATTTACTACATATTCTGCGTTTTTACCACATAGATGACATTGATAGATCGTTTGATGTAAAAAATGAACACCACGCACGTCATATGAAACCGTATTATTGCATATTTTTATTTTATTTCACCCGTCGAGGTAAAGTTATTGTAACAATGATTTTTAATACTTTATGGTTCTGTATAAATGTGGAGCAAAGAAAACGTATAATTATCTGCTTGATGAAAGTTCTATACCTTTATAATTTCTTTCTGGCGAACATGCTTCCGGCAATGTACCCTACGGGAGATAGGTAATTACAAAATAGGGAAGTTATAGACGGGAACAACATGGGTCGGTCCCAAACCAAATTTGTTTTCCATCAGTTTCTCATTAATCTACAGACGAAATAGAGATAAGGTAATAATTTGGTTATTACATTTTTTATATGTACAAAAGATTTCATTAAAAAACATTTCATACATTTTTTTAGAGGGATGAAGAAATTATCATTCTAATAGAAATGGAGGGATCGATCTAAACCTCAATCGTTTTATAATAAAATTGCAAATAGGACTGAGCGGAGATCTTTTATAAGTAGTTTACGCAAGGAGATGATTCAAACCTTTTAAAAGAATACTTTAAAAACATGATAAAAAAAACCTTTTTGGAAAGCGAAAATAAAAGAATATACGTTTCTCTGCATAATATTAATGTTGTTGGCGCAAACTTTCTGGCAAAGGAAATTGAGTATCATGACAAAGTTGTTTATTGGAAAGCATATTGAAACTTAATTAATAAGTAAGTACCTCATATAAACTGTTAAGTGTATATCAAACGTTAGTGTGGTAACATTACATCTTGTGTTACTTTATTCCAAATTGTTTAAAAATCTTTTATAAAACAATGTATTATTAATGAGAAAAAAAGAACTGTTTTAATAAATATAAGGTGCTGTTGAATATAAAGAAATACTGATAAAACTTGAGGGGGCAATTCCCAAAATGTTATAAGAAAGGAATCCGATACGAATTTTCTGGCGAATTTCGTTCCGTCCCATCGCATCAGTGTTTCATGTAAAAGTCAACAGTGATGAATAAGTAAATAATAAAATATGTGAAACGAAATGGGGTGAAAATGAAACGATTTATCGATTTGACCCTTAAATTTTCCTTTGTATATCTACGTTTACATCGAAATTCGTGGTGTTGATACAACTGATGAACAATTTTTGCAGACTAGCTTTATTGAATTAATAAAACGCAATAAATCAAAAATTCATTAAATAATAACGTACCTTGGTGTAATGAATAAAAAGTTGTTTCAATATTTATTTATGAATTTATATTTCAACATCGAATTTAACGTTTAAATTTATTCTCAGAACGTACGAAGAAAATTAGATCCGGAATCAAATTAACTTTAATCTGTCTGAGTAAATGAATTGAATTAACTTTTAACCGACCGCTTTTATTAAATATTCTTTTTCAGTTTGATTAATAATACAATATTTCGTAGTAATAAATAGAAAGTAGGTCATACAAAGATTTTGATTTAAAATATGAGTAAAATACGGCGAATATGCGGAGGATCATAACGAAAAAGTGATAGGAAGTGCTCCAAGGGACGCGTACAGTCGCCAAATTAACTATCCAGCTTGAACAGCACACAAGCACAGGTGAGTGATCAAATACATTGAGTGGCGGTGAGTGAGGCGTTCACTCATCCGGAACACCAAAGACTCACGAGAGAACCATACACATCCATTACTCACACCCCGTTTGCACTGAACAACTCCTTTTAGCCCACTTCAAAATTTCTCTGCAACTATTCTTTTAAACCAACATCTATAACATAGTGAGAATTCGAGAAAATTATATCTTAATATCCTATTAACTATATATATCATTTAATCTTCAATATTAACATTTAAAAAATTAACAAACCGACGCATCCACCATTTATTTAATTTCTTTTACATTAAACATTTTTTTGTAAATTTGTTTCTTTTTCCATTTTAAATACTTTGTAACCACTGTTTATAAACGGTATCAACTCTTGCATACGCATTCGATTAGTTAATCCATTGAGGTTTTGAACCGCTGACTGGTAATGCTAAAATTACACCTACCACACAAAAGGTTGACCTAATTTTCTGACCATTATTAAGTGAATCTAGATTTCGTATCTATTAATCCAAACACGCAGGGATTTGGGTTTCAACATACCAAAACAATTTTTTTTTTTAATAAGCAGTTCCTTTACTACTAATTGTACATAAATCCCTTTTGATTTACCGCAAAGGTTTTTATTCGACCGAATAGAAATGTCAACTTTATTTCATAGAATTAATTTAACTTTAAATGAAAAGAACGTTTTGCGTCGTCCACGTATTACGGACCTACAATATTTACGGAACAAAAGGGATATTTTTCAGTTCCATTGTTACACATTTAATTTCCTGTTACTTTGTTCATTGTGACGTTTACCGTGTACACTGCAAAACGAAACGTACGCCGCTGAACGTTTCGACAAACCTCTTCTAGATTTTCCTTTTTTATTCTAGTGTCACTCAGGTGTCTTAAATGATTTAATACAGTTAAAATAAATAAATGATAAGTATAATGTTAAAGAATTTTTATCCTCGATCTTTTGTGTTGCAATGAATCCTTTTCAAACATTAAACATAAAACAAAATTAAAGAATATAGGAGATTTAAAAACATAGTTTTTTCGTAAAGTTTC